TCCCATGTCGTCTTGATTGAAATTGTTGGAATTGGCAGCAGTTTATGGAGGAAAGTGACAGCGATGGGACAATCACAATCACAATGCAGGGCAGCGTCTCAGACCAATAACGACCGGTTCTGGAGTTTCTCAAAATAAAAACAAGTGTGAATCTGTTTCTCTGCTGGTATATTAGTGTCAGTGGTTTCTCTGCTGGTATATTAGTGTTAGTGGTTTCCCTGCTGGTATATTAGTGTTAGTGGTTTCCCTGCTGGTATATTAGTGTTAGTGGTTTCCCTGCTGGTATATTAGTGTTAGTGGTTTCCCTGCTGGTATATTAGTGTTAGTGGTTTCCCTGCTGGTATATTAGTGTCAGTGGTTTCCCTGCTGGTATATTAGTGTCAGTGGTTTCCCTGCTGGTATATTAGTGTCAGTGGTTTCCCTGCTGGTATATTAGTGTCAGTGGTTTCTCTGCTGGTATATTAGTGTTAGTGGTTCCCTGCTGGTATATTAGTGTTAGTGGTTTCTCTGCTGGTATATTAGTGTCAGTGGTTTCCCTGCTGGTATATTAGTGTCAGTGGTTTCCCTGCTGGTATATTAGTGTCAGTGGTTTCTCTGCTGGTATATTAGTGTTAGTGGTTTCCCTGCTGGTATATTAGTGTTAGTGGTTTCCCTGCTGGTATATTACTCCATAGATGCTGCGTGACCTGCTGAGTGTTCCCTGAGACTTCTGTTTTTGTGACTAAGAGTGCCCCAGCTGTCAAACTAACATTTTATTTTAACCTACAACATCTTACTGTGAAAATCATAATAAAATATAATTTTAAAAATAATAATAATTTGTTCATTCAACCTATGACTGTTTGTGAACGCTGCTGTGCGTAATTGGTTGCCGTGTTTTGCGCACAAAATATACAGTCACTCAACTTTGCAGTATATTCTGTGAGGTGCTTTGAGACATTTCAATTGTGTAATAAGGCGCTGTATCAAATGCAAAGATTATTATTAATCACAAACTTAAGTTACTAATTCAATTGTTCTCCAAATGGCCTGAGACCCGAGTAAAGCTTTTTAATAAATCCCTCAGGCACTTTAGGTACTTTCCACTTTGAGAGAGTAATTCCTTTCCCCTCGTCCTTCAAATCAGGACCAGAGGGAAAACTTCTCAGCAATTCAGACAATCAATTCTTCAAACTCATCATTTGACCGGAATGGACCTGTTAACAACAGCCACGAGTATACCAGTGACTTTAGGACAAGATTCGAATCTATTATGGTCACGTCTTAATCTTAGCATCAATCTCTTTCCTGCATCGTGTGGAGTCCTCCGTGTGGATGTGGATCTCTTTCCTACATCGTGTGGATGTAGCGCTTTTCACGTCGGGAGGACGTCCCAAACCGCTTCACAGAACACACTGTAAAGTGAATTGACTGTATATCTGTGGGCGAACGCGGCAGCCAATTGCGCACAGCAATGTCCCACAAACAGTCGTAGATTGAAAATGACCAATTTATTATTGTTTTTGGTTTTGGAGGATTATTATTAGGCTCTGTGTGGAGTAAGGAAACTTGCCCAAGGTTTCGCCCTCTGCCTGGAATTGAACTCAGGTCTCTCACTTGCAAAGCGAGTGCTCTAACCACTGAGCTACAGGACTCCAAAGTACGGTTGTTGAATGTTCAGCCCCCCCCACCACCTCCCCCATTGCCAATGCCCTTAGCATTAGCTCAGTGACCTGCATCACCCGACCTGTTTCAGTAATCAGTCACTTTTGCCCAATCAATTGAGTGACCGGATTAGTGAGATTCTACTGTATTCTACTGATGCAAATAAATGTCTGGAGAACCTTCACAAGATGATTGGTTGATTAGAATTCAAATGTAAGTTGTTATCAAAGCAAACGTGAAACTAATGTGCAGGTAACATCCCATAAACACGTGAAATTAAACTTTGATCTTTGTAAGTTCCTGGAAGCGCTCCAGGACGCTCCCCGCTTGATGGGCGCTATATAATTGCAAGTTGTTTTGTTGGAAGGCCCTTCCTTTAACAGCTCGTACTGACCAACTGACGTGAGCTTTACTGTGCTTTATGACTATAATGAGCTTTACTGGGCCCACATTTCCTATCATGGTGGAGAGAAGCAGCTTGTAAACCAGAGGCTGATGCTGAGCTCGAGCAGTGACCTCAGAAGGAAGCACTTTTCTATAAGCCCAGTCAGTGTCTCCAGGGGACTGGAGGAATTCCTTCTCCAGACTGACTCCATTTCCTCACAACACAGCTTTGTAACTGCTGCTCAAAGTGACGCAGGGCCTCAGACACCATGTTTGAGAAGCCTCCTGTTTGGCCTCTGGATTAATGTGATTGACTACTGGTGCTCAATTCACAAGATACCGCAAACCCTGAGGTTGTGACTCGTCTCTGAATGTTGTTGCACGTTAGCTCACTTAGGCAGTACTAATGATGAGGCCCTTTGGCTCTGTTGGCATCAATACTTACGGTCTTTGCTTCTCTGCTTGTCAGCACACTGGCTGATAAAGGCAGACTGCAGATTAGGCCTGAAACAGGCAATGCTTCTGCACAATATTATGAAGGTGAGAGTAGAATAGAAAATACACCACAGACAAGTTCATTTTAAAAAGGGTTGAGAGAAATACCCGAGTGCAATATTCAGGGAAAATTGTTGAAAAACTTTTGAGAGAGATTATGAGTGGAGCATATTGATTGGTTAGAGCACTCGCCTCGCAAGTGAGAGGACCGGGTTCAATTCCAGGGTAGGGTGAAATCTTAAGCAAGTTTCCTTACTCCAAACACCTCTGTTTACCTAGCCTTAAGTAGGAACCCAGGTGTTCACTTTCTGGGGGTAATAATCCCTTTAATAAATAAATTAATTAAAAATAATTTGGTCACTCAATCCACGGCTGTTTGTAGGACACTGCTGTGCGCAATTGGCTGCCACGTTTTGCCCACAAAATACGCAGTCACTACACTTTACAGTATATTCTGTGAAGTGGTTTGAGACGTTTCAACGATGTGATAAGGCGCTATATCAAATGTAAGGATTATTATTATTATTGTTGTCATTATATTATTATTGATGATGTTATTAATATTATTATGGAGCAACCACTTGGGAAAGCCTCAGTTCATGAAAAGGAAATTAAGTTGACTTTTTATATTTTGACAATTTCACACGAGTGAAAGGATCTGAGGTCACATGTGGTACTGGATTAGGAAACCAGGGGAATGTTTCATGCTGTAAAGAGGTTAGAACAAAGCTATTGTGGGGTTTCTTTTGTTAGTTTTACTACTTTTGCTATTTGTAAATGAGCATCTTGTGGCATTGGCTGCTGCGTTTCGCCCACAAAATATACAGTCTACAGTATACACTTTACAGTATAAACAAAACACAAAATACTGCAGAGGCTGGAAATATGAAACAAAAACAAAGTCACTGAGAACACTCAGCAGGTCAGGCAGCATCTATAGAGAAAGAAAGTGAGTCAACGTTTCGGGTCCACGACCCTTTGTCAGATTAGCCCATCATCCCCTGTCCTCTACCCCATTTTCTCCTTTGTCTTCCTCCCCCGTCTCTGTTAACCCTTAAAAGCCTCTCCCTCCCAACATACCCCAGTTCTGATGAAGGGTCGTGGACCTGAAACACTTTCCTCTCTCCATAGATGCTGCCTGACCTGCTGAGTGTTCCCAGCGACTTCTGTTTTTGTTTCACTTTACAGTATATTCTGTGAAGCGCTTTGAGACATCTCAAAGACATGATAAGGGGCTTTATCAAATGCAAAGATTATTATTATTATCCCACAAAAGACACAATCACTCCACTTTACACTTAACCCTGCGAAGCCCTTTGTGTCAAACACAGACTGACCGGGATGGACTCTGGACAGAGATTGGAATCTGTCCCTTTTGCTCAGTTTAAGACCCGATGAGCAGAGCTTCTTGAGACTACAGTCTGCAGGACTCCCAGTGCCTGACCCTGGGTGTCCCAAGAGACTCAGGATCCCAGATCAAATCGGCAATGATGTGATGTGCTGTCTCCCTCAGCTACAGAAACCTCACAGCAACCACTCAAGTTGTATCTTTCACACTTAAGTTCTCCAGCGCATCACATGATTCTGCTGCACACAAGGCAGATGGACATTACTCTAACTGCTGCCTCCAGATACCTTAGTGGCTAACAAGGCTGCACAGTCTGCACTTAGGGTCTAATCAAGTCTCATGTGGTGCAAATTCTGTCAGACACAGAGGAAATAGCTGGAAAATTACAATATTAATCCAAGGGGGGAATAGAAATACAAGCTCTGGAATATGCTCATACATACTGTAGAACAGAAGGCCATTCAGTCACTGTGTTCACTCCAGCTCAGACCATTATATACCTACCACGTCCCTCCTCCTTACTATTACCCTCGTATATGTGTGTGCACAGCAGCATCCCACACACAGCTGTGGATTGAGTGACCAAATTGAATTGATCATATTTTATTGAATATTGAAATTAAATTCATACTGTTTTTATATCAATATCAAAAATACAAAACTTTGAATGTGAGAAAATTCTTACAATTAGAATAATCAGAACTCAGGTTTATTATAAAATCCTCATCAAACACTGAAGATTTGGGCATTTACAAGCGTATGATGTAAGTACCACCGAAATAGTAAATCAAGAGCCATTTCACATCGTTTTAGGTGAATTCAGCAAGTGGTAAAGAATCGTCTTACTGACAGGAAACAGTCTGCTGTAACCTGGCGAGGCCAAGCCAAGGAGCCGCCTGCTCTGATTTCCTGTTTAACATCGAACAAAATTGCTGCTGCGTCAGCGTGTCTCATGTTGCACTTGAGACGATGTCTGGGTTTGTCACATGAACGGCTCACAGCTCGGCTGCCATCGTCTGGTCATCAATGACAGGCCAAACCTGGGCAGACTTTTCTTTTTTTGGGTGTTGTGGACGTTGCTTTTCACTTTGTCTCGACACGTTATCTAATGTTTTCTTCTTTTTAATAGGAAGGGTGTCTATGTCCGTCAGAAAGCACAGTGTCTCGCCACTGCCCTGCAGAGGTATGTTAACTAGAAGCATGTAATAGGATATCACTGAATATGTTCATATAGATATCACAGCACCACACCAGGAGATTGTTCTGTAATTACATGCTTTATATTTCCATAAATATCTTCCCAAAAGCATTCCTTTATGAAAAGGCCCAAATGTTTATTGCACAACAGTTTTGAGTCCTTTGGAAATCCAATTGCACTTTGCTTAAAAATGGCTAAACAGTATTTAAGTTTTTAATGGTAATGTTTAGCCTCTATACATGCAACCTAAAACATTCAAGAAATGTTTGCCTAATTACATTTCTGTGATTTTTGGGGGGTAATTATCTCTTCCAAAAATAATAATAATAATACAAAATGACATTTGTACAGTGCCTTTCCTGTCGGGCGCTGGGCAGTCAGTGATTTGGACCAGAGCTGGGGGGTGGGGCTGGTGGAGGGCAAGGGATGTAGGAGGGTGGCCGAAGGCACAGTCAAAGTAGAGGGTCTTGAGTCCGGCCTTGAAGGAGGCGAGCGAGGGGGCGAGGTGAAGGGATTGTGGGATGGCGTTCCAGAGTGTGGGGGCAGAGAGGCTGAAAGCCCGGCCACCGATGGTAGAGAGGGTCGGGTGGGAGACATGGAGCAGACCAGAGCCCGCTTAGTGGAGACAGTGGACAGGTTGATAGGGGGTCAGCAGGTCAGAGGTAGGGAGGTGCAAAGCCTTGGAAGGCCTCAATAAATTGGTAACTCAATCCACATAAGCTGTCAGGTAATTTTCATGTACTATAAAACCAACTTTTTATTTTAACTTATAACACGATTTTACTGTGAAAATCATCACAAAAATTAATTTAAAAAGACAAAGTCATAATCATTTGGTCACTCAATCCACGACTGTTTGTCATTGCTGTGGATAATTGGCAGCTGCGTTTCGTCCGCAAAATATACAATTAATTCACTTTACAGTATATTCTATGAAGCGCTTTGAGAAGTCTCAATAACTTGATAAGGCGCTGTATCAAATGCAAGGATTATTATTATTATATGTTGCTAAAAATTATTGACTATTGTTAAATGGCAGATACGAACCGTGCATCTATTGCTGTATTGGATATAATAATCAATAATAAACCTATATTTTACTATATTATAATATACAATGTTTTACTATATTATAATAATTTATTACCTCAGTGCAGCTTCCACCATAAGGTGTTTCCTGTCTCCTCAGTTGATGTATTCTCCGAGATCGAGGGACAGGTTTTCGGCCTCACCGTTCATGCAGAGGGACCGCTTCAGCCACTTCCAGCCCACGTACCCCTACTTACACCATGAGATCGATTTCCCCCCCACCATCTCACTGTGGGATGGCGAGGAGCCGCCCCCCTATCAGGGGCTGTGTACTCTGCAGCTTAGAGACCCGGAGCAGCAGATGGAACTGAACCGGGAGTCAGTTCGGGCTCCACCCAACAGAACCATCTTTGACAGTGATTTGATAGACATGTCAGTGTACAACGGGGGTCCTTGCCCGCCCAGCAACAACTCGGGCATCAGTGCCACCAACTCCAGCAGTAACGGGCTGATGGAGGGCCCACCCCCCACATACAGCGAGGTGATGGGGCGCTATCCAGGCTCAGCCTTCTTCCAGCACCAGCACCAGCACAGCACGGCTCCCTCTGCACACGAGGAAAATAGACACCATTGTCAGCAGAACAATGCAGATTGTACAGTTGTCCCATTCAAAGGGAAGGAAACGCACACAGAAAAAATCATTTGACAGTCGGCACAGACTCCTGAATTGAGGCAGAGGACGGCCAGACTGGGCCAAGCATCCTGGCACAAGGTTAATCAGTGGGAACTGCAACCGTTTGAGTAAAACCAAAACAAGTCTGTCTGTCTGTCTCTGAGGGAAACAAACACATGATACATTGATTCTAACAACACAACTTCCACTTAGTAAATTAGAGCATTTGGTAAACAGTTGTTTTTTTTGTATCCGGATTATTTAATTTTGAAGAAACAAGCACAGACTTTCTGCCTTGGCCGGAGGGTGTTTTTCGTGATGACAGAATTGCCAACAATAGAAGCTGAAGGTATTTTAGGAGCAATTGTACATCACTGGACAGTTTTTTTTTGTAACATTTTACAAACAAACTTAAGAGAATTGAAATTCCTTTTCAAGTGCTAAGACAAAAACGTTGGAGGGAAAAAAAATGCAATGGTTTAAATGTGTTTGTGAAAAATTGAAATGTTGCACTATTTTCTTGTTTGATAAAAAAAATGGGGAGTTGTTTTATGTGAAAAAATATCTATTGTCATTGTCTTCATATTGACGGAACTGAGTGGAATCACAAGGTGTAGAACTTTCCCAATTCTGACGTGTGGAGGTTCTCCTTGATTTCTGGATCCAGCCCATTGCCTCCCACCATACAGGAAATGGAAAATTATAGAGTCCTGTAGCTCAGCTGTTAGAGGCTTTGCCTCGCAAGTGAGAGGTCATGGGTTCAATTCCTGGGCAAGTTTCCTTATTCCACACATCTCTTTTACCCAGCAGAAGTAGGAACCTGGTGGTTAGTCGATTGGTGGATCACTTTTCCAGGGGTAATAATCCCTTTTAAAAAAAAAGTCACTCAATCCAAAACTCTTTGTGGGACGCTGCTGTGCACAATTCGCGATTCACCCACAAAATACACAGCCACTAGAATTTACAGCATATTCTGAGACGTCTCGAAGACTGGATAAGGCGCTGTATAAAATGTAAGGATTATTATTAAAATACTGTCATTGAAAGACTTTTAAGATTGTGAACATTTGTTTAGAATTTCCATTTTGAGGTTAACTGGGTTCTGGTTAAAGTGTAGAATGTAAAAGCTCAATTACTTCCAATTGTACAGTTGTTTAGAATGGACCAGTCAGTAACTCAGCTTTTCACCTACTCAAGGATATCAGCACAGGCTTAACGTTAGTCTGCTATGCAGTGATGTCATGTTAAACGGATGGGGTACAGACTGCAGGCTATCACAGGAAATGGGTGAAAGATTGAGTCAATTCTTGAGAGAGAGCTTTGATATTTGCAAATGTGTAGCCCGCTATTCAATTCATTATAGTGTCTGAGGAAATCAACTTGAATGTCTAGACTTGAAACACACAAGTAAAGCATGGAGTCCAGGTGGTGAGATGTAGAGCTAGTTCAGTCTCAGTGTACAGGGACTTGAGATCCACATTGCAGTTACCTATAAATATGTTCTGACCGGTTTGTTTCCCTTAAATCCGTCATCTTTTTATTCCATAACGTAAGATCCTTTGTTTTAACTAAACACACATTGTTTACGTTGTTTCCTGACCGTTCCTTTGGCAAATGTTTGTGTGCTGTCCCACAGCAACTTGGAGGTAAAACTGAGGTTCAGCATGTGCAGGATCCCAACAACAGCTTACACTTGTATAGCGCCTTTCACGTCGGGAGGACGTCCCAAGCCGCTGAAACAACCGTAACAAAAAGCAACAAAAAAAAACCTCTTCTATGTGATTGAAATACATTCATTTGATTGTTTCCATGTTAGAAACTGGAATGAACAGTCACTGTGTCAGTCAGTCTCTACCTATGGCTTAATCTGTGTTAACACTGCATTCCTTTTACGAGTGTTTGATTGAGTCTCATTCCTTGTGTTTTCAGACCATCATTTTGAAGTGTAAACTGAAGATACTTTAAACTGTAATTGCTTTTTACACTTGACTTTCCTCAAGCCTCGGTCTAGTTAAAGTGTGACCAGTGAGAGTTTACTCAATTTACTGAGTTCTTTACCACTACGACTGTTCTTGGCCAAGTTGAAGCTGTTTTTTGCCTGAAGTGACCGGGGAGGGAGGGAGAGGAGAGGGCGGGGAGGGGGGGGGGGGAAGACATGTACCTTTTACAAACCGCACCAAGTTTGGCACAAGCCCCCAGTGTCTGTGTCTCAGTGTCTTTGCTCAGAGCTGCTCTTCTCTCTGGTTTATGTTTCAGTTTTGGCAAATATCGCACTTTTACTGTTTTTAAAAACAATAGTTTTGACAAACGGACATTTTGTGCTGAGCTGCCAGTCAGGTCAGGTTATATATGTGTATATATATATATACACACACATCCCGTGTGACTTGTGGGTGAAACAAACAGCAAATCTTAAGTCACTATGTCTTGTTGATCCTGAAATGTTCCTTTTTCTGTGTTGTTTGGTGTCAGTGACTGACAGGCAACTTGTTTTGCTGCTGTTGCTGCTGTAACACTTTCAATAATTTCTATGTCAGTTTCTGATCCTCTTGTGGTATTATATCACAAGACCTTTATTGGGTGAAGAAGTTTCTTTGTTTTAATTATTAAAGAATAATCCTTGAATTTGATATAGCGCTTTTCACGTCGGGAGGACGTCCAAAGCGCTTCACAGAACACACTGTAAAGTGAATTGACTGTATATTTGTGGGCGAACGCGGCAGCCATTTGCGCACAGCAATGTCCCACAAACAGTCGTAGATTGAAAATGACCAATTTATTATTGTTTTTGGTTTTGGAGGGTTATTATTAGGCTCTGTGTGGAGTAAGGAAACTTGCCCAAGGTTTCGCCCTCTGCCTGGAATTGAACTCAGGTCTCTCACTTGCAAAGCGAGTGCTCTAACCACTGAGCTACAGGACTTCACTCTATGTTTGCTCGTTCTCTATGCTGTGGTAGAAACTGATCTCTCGTTTTTATTTGATGAAGAGGTTTGTTTGCATGTTACTAGTTTGTGAGCAGATAAGATGCCTCATTCCCGGATTGAGCAGATATAGGAATCCCTTTGCACTCTGTTGTGCCTCACTTAAATATGGTGCTTCTTTCATTGTCTGTCTCTTTTTGTGTTTATTTGTAAGGTGCTGTATATAACTTGAATATATTATGCACATAATCCTACCCAATGGGTAGACAAAAAAGACATTGTTAATAATGTATAATAATGTATAAATGACATAAATTTTAACACAATGGCATAGAAATTTATGAATACCTACCACATGCTTTGTCCTTTTGTAAACGAGTTTGCAAATTAATACATAAAAAAAGGACTTCGTTTATTTTCCTAAAGATGATTATCCTGTATTGCTAAGGTCGTTGCTGAAAATGCCGACCTTGGTGATTGACAAGATACCGTCTGTTGTCAGTTGGTTTGTACTTAAACAGAATTCTCACTTTTCAATGTAACTTTGCAGTGACTTTGCTAAACTCACGTGTTTAAAAATGCAACAGAATATTTGCCATTTCTTTTTCTGCTCAGCTGGCATCAGGATTAGTTTAAAGCTTCGAAATGCCTCGGATAGATTTAGAATCTGCAGATTTTTTAATATATAAATACAGGATTTTGTTTTTTGGTAAATAAGTTTTGAAGCAACGGTTGAAATTAAAAATAAATCATTCGGGTTAAAGCAAAAGCATTTTGAACGTCCAAAACCACCTTGACATCTGCAGTCAATCAGCAACAATGACAGAGAAGGGATTATTTTGGAGAATATCAGTTTAATGCGGAATGTTTTAGTCAAATTCTGTATAACTCTCCCAAACGATGATCCTTCACTGTGCATGAACCTGAAAACATTTATTTTATGCCATTTTCCAATAAGAGTAGATACAGTGTGAAAGTTAATGGGAATCTCCCAGAACAGCGATTTTATTGCTGAAGATGACAAGTCAGAATGAATGACACTAGGAGCCCTGCCACCTCGTCCTCGTCACAACACACAGACAATCACAATAAACACACTGTTCTATGATTTAAGAAATTACAACTGTGTTTTCACAGGGATGTTTAGAATTGTTTAATTGTCAAATCAAGTACCTTACTTGATACTGTAGACAGTGTAGAGCACGTTAGGATTACTTAGCGATATTGTACAGGTCAGATTTAGTCAAAATGAACGCCCCCCCCACTGCGGCTCTCCGTTCTGCGTATCTCTTGCTTTGGTTATTTACTGTAGCCGTCAGACCATTGTACATACATCCAACAAGAGTTTATTTTAGTTTCCAACAAAAAGATTGTGTGCAGCACCATCGGAAATTGTCGAATGTTCTTTGCCTTTCAAGTTCTGTTATCACCAGGTGGTGCTGTAGGAAATGTTAACTTCAATAAAGCCGTCGTACAATTGATACACGTTCATGTGACCTAAACTTCAACATTTGCTTTCATGGAATTTTTTTTAAAAATTCAATATTTGCTTGTTTCCATGGTAACAGCCAGTTATCTAAAAAAAAATTAAACTGTTGTGTATTTGCATCTTTTTAACAAGACAATGGTGATGTTCTAGTTTTTAGACCTCAGGTCTGGTATTGCAATACTTTACACAAGTTGTTTCTCAGTGCTGTTGTGGTCAAAACTATGTTATGCTTGTACTTAACTATGGTCAGGCCATAGCACAAAACCATTAAAAACAGTTGAAATAACTGATTTTCTTGCTTTTATTTTTCATATCCTTTGAAAAAGGCGTGACTGTGTTACACACACGTGTGTGTGTGTGTGTATCTATATACAGAGGAAGCCTGTTAAGCCGGACAGTTTCCGGGAAAGGGGCAAAAGCACGAACAAATAGCAGTCTTGAAATGGGCCTTGAAGGAGACGAGGGAGGGGGCAGTAGCAGGAGAGTGGGATTTGAGTGGGAGAGTGTGGCTCATGTGAAGGAAAATGACTTTGCAAACTTAACGGTCGTATGGCCTATTTGTGGAATTCTATGTAGTGATGGTCTTCCCTTCTCCCGAGACACCGACTCGCTCAGTGGCACAGCTCAACAACTTGCACTTATATAGCGCCCACCACACAGGGTAGCGTCTCAGAGGGCTTAAGCATCAGGAACCCAGCCATTCACTGCATAAAAACCAACACCATTTCTCTACGCCCTGAGTCCACCAGTGTCCATTTGTCCAAGTGTTAAGTATCACCTGTAAAGGTCACCCCTCAATCCAGTCAGTCAGTCAGTCAGTCAGTCTGTGGGTGAGTGTGTGTGTTTCTCTTTGCCTGTGTGTCTCTCTGTGTTATGTGTGTGTGTCTCTCTGTATCTGTGTGTGTCTATGTGTATGGGTTTTTCACTCTTTGTGTGAAAGTTTCTCTGTGTATGTTTCTCTGTATCTGTGTGTCTCTCTGGATATATGTGTGTCTCTGTATCTGTGTGTGTGTGTCTCTGTATCTGTCTGTGTTTTTGTATCTGTGTGTTTTTCTGTATCTGTGTATCTCTCTGTATCTGTGTGTGTCTCTGTATTTGTGTGTGTCTCTTTGTATCTGTGTGTCTCTCTGTATCTGTGTGTTGCTCTCTGTATCTGCGTATGTGTCTGTATCTGTGTGTCCCTCACTGTATATGTGTGTGTCTCTTTGTATCTGTGTGTGTCTCTGTATCTGTCTGTGTTTTTGTATCTGTGTGTGTTTTTCTGTATCTGTGTGTGTATCTGTATTTGTGTGTGTCTCTCTGTATTTGTGTGTGTCTCTTTGTATCTGTGTGTTGCTCTCTGTATCTGTGTGTTGCTCTCTGTATCTGTGTATGTGTCTGTATATGTGTGTGTCCCTCTCTGTATCTGTGTGTGTGTCTCTGTATCTGTGTGTGTCTCTCAGTATCTGTGTGTGTGTCTCTCTGTATATGTGTGTCTCTCTCTCTGTATCTGTGAGTTTCTCTGTATCTGTGTGTGTCTCTTTCTGTATCTGTGTGTTTCTCTCTTTGTGTGTGTCACTGTTCACCATCCTCTGTAGGAAAGGTGTCCCATTTGCTCCATCGCAACCCCATACATCCTTTAAGAGCTGAAAATTTATTTTAAGCACATGTGGCATTCATCCAGGATTCTCACTAACACTTTCAGAACCTTCCATTTCACACACACACAGCATTTCAAGGTTACCTTCAAAGTGCCTCCAATGCACTCCCTGACAGATGAGGCTACAAGTCACAGTTCAGCCAAGCCTCTCCTTCATCAACCCAATGAACCAGGGAATAAATAACTTCTTATTGAAAGACAACAAGAGGCAGAATTTGCCAGTGTCTGATCTTGTAGATGTGAGAGGAGATTCCACGTCAGCCCAATGTGGTCGCCCAGAGGCACTTAGTGAGGTTGAATTGTTCATTTGCATCGAGCTGTCGTGCCTGTACCTTTGATTGGATAAGATCATGAGGGTGGCTGGGTCAGAAGAGGGCTGGGGGGATACCACTGCCAAACAGCAATCTCCAGGAGCTCGGAACTTTCCACTGAGCCAGGGCTGAGCTCCCCTGAGGAGACAATCATCCAAACGTCAATCCCGGTTAGGCTCCATCTGCAGACTGTTCACAAAGTCATGTTACCCCCCCCCCCACCTTACAAAACAATAATTTCAGCTTACAGAGGAACTGAGACAAGCCATTACAGATACATTTGGCCTTGCTCCCTCGCACACTCACACACTCAATCACTCACACACTCAATCACTCACTCAAACACTTACACACTCAATCACTCGCACACACTAACTCACTTACTCACACTCACTCATTGACACACACTCACTCACGTACACACTCACGTATGCACAAACTCACGTACATGGACACACATACTCAATCACAGACACTCAATCACACACACTCACTCATACATACTCACTGACACACACACTAACACACTCACCACACTCACTCACACCCATCCCCTGGACATCTAAACACAGTTAAACACTTGGACTAAATACAATTAAGTAACTTCTACATACAATTATCATCGTTAGAATCATAGAATTATACATCAAAGGAGGCCATTCAGCCCATCATGTCTGTGCCGGTTCTTTGAAAAGCGCTTCCAAATCAACCCCACTCCCCCTGCTCTCTCCCCATAGCCCTGATCAACCCCACTCTCTCTCCATAGCTCTACAAACTTGTCCTCCATAGATAAGTATATACATCTCTCTTAAAAGTTGTTATGGAATCGGTTCCCACCGGCCTTTCAGGCAATGCATTCCAGACCCCAACAACTCGCTGTGTGAACACATTTCCCCTCTCCTCCCCTCCGTTTCTTTTAACAGCTATTTTAAATGGGTGTCCTCGAGTTACCGACCCACCGCCAGTGGGAATAGTTTCTCCTCGTTCACCCTATCGATTCCCCTCATAATTCTGAAAACTTCTATTAAGTCTCCTCTTAACCTTCTCTGCTCCGAGGAGAATAATCCGAGCTTCTCTCACCCCTCCTGATAACTGAGGTCCCTCATTCCTGGTACCATTCTGGTCAATCTCCTTTGCACCCTCTCCAATGCCTTGACATCCTTCCTACAGTGTGGGGCCCAGAACTGAACACAGTCTCTCGCTGAGGCCTCACCAGTGTTTTATATAAAGGTTCATCATAACTTCCTGACTTGTGTATTCTATGCCCTATTTATAAAGCCGAGTATCCCGGATGCTCTTTAACAGCTGTATCTGCCTGTCCGGCCACCTTCAGAGATTTACTATATGACCCCCAGGTCTCTCTGTCCCTTCACCCCCATTAAGACTGTACCATCAGCTTATATTGCCTCTCCTCATTCTTCCTCTCAAAATGCATCACTTCACATTTCTCCATATTAAACTCCATCTGCCACGTGTCTGCCCGTGTTACCAGTCTGTCTCTATCCTCTTGCAGTCGGTTACTATCCTCCTCATTGTTTACTACTTTTCCTAACTTAGTATTTCTGCAAATTTTTGCAAATTGTGCTCCATATACCCAAGTCCAGGTCATTTATACAGATAAAAAATAGCAGTGGCCACCATACTGACCCCCGGGGGGACACCACTGCACACTTCCCTCCAGTCAGAAATATAACCGTTCATCACCACTCTCTGCTTTCTGTCTCTCAGACAGTTCTGTATCTGCTTTCACTGTCCTTTTAATACCGGGGCTGCTATTTTATTTACAAGTCTCTTATGTGGCACTTTATCAAATGCCTTTTGAAAATCCATATAAACTACATCACCTGCACTACCTTCATCCACCCGCTCTGTTATTTCATCAAAAAACTATCAGGTTTGTTAGACACAATTTGCCTTTAAGAAATCCGTGTTGACTGTCCTTTATTTTAACCCATTTTTTTCTTTTGTGAAGACAGATGCAAAGTACTCATTCAGTTTGTCAGCCTCCACAAGATTTCCTTTTTGGTCCCTAATTGGACCCAACCGACCTTTAACTAACCTTTTATTCTTTATATGCTTATAACATACCTTAGGGTTCCCTATTATGTTACCTGCTAATTTTTTATCATACATTCTCTTTTCCTCTCTTATTTCCTTTTTCAGTTCTACTCTGTACTTTCTATATTCTATTTGATTATCTTCTGATTATCTACATTCTTCCACATGTGTCAGTTGTTGGTCAGTTGGTCACTGTAGGGGGAAACATGGGGGTAACAGGACTTTGTGAACACCCTGTACAGTGGCAGCTTTTAAATGCCGGCCTGGGACATGATCAACTATCTGCTGGTAAACAGAGGCGTGTGGAGTTGTGGAGAAAGGGATTAGAGGTGTTTGATAGAACATGCAGGGATATATATTAGTATATAGTATATAGTATATATAATTATACTCTTAGAACCATAATAATAATAATCATTGCATTTGATATAGCGCTTTTCACGTTTTCTCGACGTCTCAAAGCGTTTCACAGAATACACTGTAAAGTGAATTGACTGTATATTTGTGAGCGAACGCGGCAGCCAATTACACACAGCAGTGTCCCACAAACAGCCATGGGTTGAAAATGATCAATTTATTATTGTTTTGTTTTGGAGGATTATTATTCAGCTCTGTGTGGAGTAAGGAAACTTGCCCAAGGTTTTGCCCTGCTGGAAATCTAACTCAGGTCTCTCGCTTGCAAAGCGAGTGCTCTAACCACTGAGCTACAGGACTCCACATAATTTACCGCAGCTGCTGCAGAATAACAGCTTTTAATATAATACTTCAAATCCACAGCAAACAAACTCTGCAAACAACAACTTGCATTTATATAGCTCCCCTTGTGCAGGGTAGTGTCTCAGAGCACTTGACAGTGACGGAGCACAACGTTTAGCTGGGGGGAGGGGGAGGTAACCGTAGGCACAATCGAATAGCCAGGTCTTCTAGTGCGACCTGAAGATGGGGAAGGAAGTGGCTAAAAGCGTAGCCATCAATGGTGGAATGGAGGGCACAAGGAACATGAAGTCCAGAGCCGGTCAAGTAGATACAACAGGTTGTGGGTTGGAGTGTGAGCAGGTCAGAGAGGTAGGAGGTGCCGGCATGAAGGGATTTGGAGACGAGTGAGAGAAATCAATATGTTCTGCGATAGGGAGCCAGTGGGCCCTGGCGAGGGCTGGGGTGATGGGGTATGGGGTTTAGTGTGTGTGGTAGGGAGTCAGTGGGGCCTGGCGAGGGCTGGGGTGATGGGGGGACGGGGTTTAGTAATAAAAAAGTGACTGAAGAGGACAGACCTGACTCACTAGTTTCCCTGTTAACTGCAGCCATTCGTTGAGGAAGTTGAGAAGACAGAACGCGTCAGGGATATTGTCGCCTTCGGAGCAGAATATCAGCAGCACAGCCAGTGGGATTCCCTCTGCACAGCTATAGACAGGGAACAAGATCAGCGCAGTTACCTATAGAACCTCACATAGCATCGCTTGCACACAGCCCTCTGGATTAAGGTGATACGGCTTGCGCTCAGCACAAGGCGCACACAGAAGTGTACCACCTGCTGGCCATGATCCTCCAAACTACCAGCTAACAGACAACAACAATTGACATTTATACAGCGTTGTTCACGTCAGGACATCCCAAGGCACTGGACAGTCAGTGATTTTAACCCAAGCTGGTGGTTGGGATCAGGAAGGGTGCAGGGCAGGGCGGGCGGGGGTAGGAGGATGACCGAAGGCGCGGTCGAAAAGGAGGGTCTTGAGATGGGTCTTATAATAATTCTTGTATTTGATACAGAGCCTTCCACGTCATTGAGATGATTGTAAGGTTTCACAGGATATACTGTAAAGTGAATTTACTGTATATTTTGATTAGAAAACGCAAGTGAAAAAAGAACTTGGGTTTCAAGAGAAGCTTCTGCCTTAAACATCTCGATGTGCTTTACAGTACAGACGGGGGGGGGGGGGGGGGCGGAGATCTCAATGCTGCCCAGTCACAGCTAACAGACTGAGCTAAACGGCTGAGCCAAGGTAAAGCCACCAGAGCAAAATACACCAGATGCTGGAAATCTGTAACAGAAACAGAAGTCGCTGGGAACACTCAATAGGTCAGGCAGCATCTATGGAGAAAGGAAAGTGAATTAATGCTTCCGGTTGATGACATTTCTTCAGAACTGCGGGATGTTGGAAGGGAGTAAATTATAAGGACAGAGAAGTGGGTGGGAGAGAAAGACAAAGGAAACATTAGGTGGAGCACAGGAGGTGATGAGATCAGAGAATGGAGCACGGTACAGGCCCCAGTGCTGGCTGCAGCGTCCACTGATTGAAGATCGTGGAGACGGAGCCACCAGGTGAGAACCAGGTCACAGGTCACAGACATCAGGCCACAGGTGACAACATCAACGTGCACTTATATAGCCCTCCATGCAGAGTAGCGTCTCAGAGCGCTTAACAATGGTGGAGCTGTCACAGACACCAGGTCACAGCAAGTCAGAGACACGGCTCGCAACTGCTCACGCCCAGTGCTGTTTGCAGCTCCCGTTCTTCCTCTGCTGCGTTGGGGACTAATCTTCTCTCAGCCTGTTCTGGCCTCCTGCTCATCCCCTCCGCTCCACTATCTGCGGCCACACTTTCAGCCACTGCGCCCCAAAGCTTTGGAGCTCCCTCCGCTTTGCCCCCCCTTATAGATCATGCATGAAGACCTTTCTCTTCTTCTGTGTTAAGGTCACCTCCCACCCAGCTCGGCCACTGTGAAGCGCTCCGAGACGCTGCCCCACATGAAGTGCGCTGTGTAAATGCAGGTTGTAAGCAGAGCACTGACCTGTCCTTATACAGTGATGTGGTGATGCCGCCTCCGGGGATGGAGACCTCATTCTCTGCCTCGCTGATCCCAGGGAAGGCTGACACCCTCTCCAGCTCTGTCCAGTTCAGGGCCTGAATCTCCTCCCCCACCAGGCTCTGCAGGGCTGGTGTGGCCACGAACCTCAGCAGGGAACTGTAACAGCAGCATTCACCTTCACAAGCACTTCTTACCAAATACCACAATGTCTTTATAATAACATAATACTCTCATTTAATACCGTACCTTATCACGTCAATGAAACATCTCAAAATGCTTCAAACGATATTCCGTAAAGTGGGTAGACTGGGTATTTTGTGGGTGAAACGCGGCAGCCAATTGCGCACAGCAGCGTCCCACAAACAGTCATGGATTGAGTGACCAAATTTTTTTTGAAAGGAAAGTGATCGACCAATTGACTAACAACCGGGTTCTTACTTACTGCTAGGTAAACAGACGTGTGTGGAGTAACGAACCTTGCCTAACTTTTCGTCTCCCCGGGAATCGAATCCAGTCTCTCGCTTGCGAGGCGAGGGCTCTAACCACTGAGCTACAGGAATCACAGTTTATAAACTTCCCCTCACTGAAGAAAAAAATGAGCCACTGTCTTGGTTTTCCAACTGCACTAAGCCACATGATTTATTTACCAGCCACTGGGTTACTCATTCGATAATAATAATAATCTTTGCATTTGATATAGCACCTTATCAAGTCGTTGAGACGGCTCAATTATACAACTTCCCCCTCCTCTCTTCCTCCCTCCCTCCTCCTCCCCTCCTACCCCGTCCCTCCTTCTACCCCTGCCTTCCCCCCTCCACCAGCCCTCCCACACGGAATGTGAACATACCCCACGAGCTGCTTGTCGATACGCTGGTAGGCGTGGCTGCTGGACAGTAACACGACTTTGCTGAAGCCACTCTCTTTAATCCATGAGATCAGCTTGTGTCGAAAGGAGCAGGCTTTGCCCTGAGACAGGAATGGGAACAACAGAGGATCAAGTTAGCGTGCCACACTGTGCTACCATCAGGATCTCAGCAAAGCTTCACCCTGCGGAAGGGGGGTGGAGGCCTTTTTTAGAAGGGGAGAGATTGGAATGTGTCAGCGTCCAGAGGGACTTGGGTGTCCTTGTACACAATCACAGAAAGTTAGTCTGCAGGTGCAGCAGCAATTAGGAAGGCGAACAGTATATTAGCATTCATTATGAAAAAATTAGAGTATAAGAGTAGGGAAGTCTTACTGCAACTGTATAGGGCCCTGTGAGACCACACCTGGAATACTGCGTCCAGTTTTGGTCTCCTCATTTAAGGAAGGATGTACTTGCCTTGGAGGGGGTGCAGTGTAGATTTACTAGGTTAGTACCAGGGATGAAGGGGATGAGTTACGAGGATAGGCTGACCAATTTGGGCCTATATTCTCTGGAATATAGAAGAATTAGAGGGGATCTTATAGAAACCCATAATAATAATAATAATAATAATCCTTGCATTTGAATAGTGCTTTTCACGTCGGGAGGACGTCCCAAAGCGCTTCACAGAACACACTGTAAATTGAATTGACTGTATATTTGTGGGCGAACGCGGCAGCCAATTGCGCACAGCAATGTCCCACAAACAGTCGTAGATTGAAAATGACCAATTTATTATTGTTTTTTTTTTTGGAGGGATTATTATTAGGCTCTGTGTGGAGTAAGGAAACTTGCCCAAGGTTTCACCCTCTGCCTGGAATGGAACTCAGGTCTCTCACTTGCAAAGCGAGTGCTCTAACCACTGAGCTACAGGACGCTGTATAATATCATCAAAGGCCATGATAAGAGTAGATAGTGGGAGATTGTCCCCTGGTTGGAGAAACTAAAACCAGGGGTCACAACCTTAAAATCAGAGGACAGCCCTTTCGCACTGAGTTGAGGAAGAACTTCTTCATTCAAAGGGCAGTGAATGTGTGGAACTCACTACCCCAAAGGGCTGTTGATGCTCAATCCTTGAACATATTCAAGACTGAGATATATATATTTCTTATTGCAAAAGGGATTAAGGGATATGGAGATAAGGCGGGGGAGGGGAGGCTGGGGGGGGAGGGGCAGGCTGGCTGGGGTGGGTGGGGTTTGGGGGTAAGGCAGGGTCAGATTATCAACTGGAGTTAGATTAGAAGATCAGCCATGATTGAATGGCGGGGAAGGCTCGAAGGGCTGAACGGCCTTCTCCTGCTCCTCCATGTTATGTTATGTTAAGCCTGCAATTCTCTACGTAGTGATTACAGCATTTACCTCACAAGCAAGAGGAACCAGGTTCAATTCCCAGGTGAGGCGAAACCTCAGCATAATAGCTCTGAAACTGCTAGTTGAAGAAATCGATAACCCCACTCCTCCACCCGCTGCCTCTGATCGGGTGGCTCTGACCTCCTGCTTGTCCCGCGTCCCCTCTATTGGCAGTTGCACTTTCACCCACTATACCCTGAAGCTTTGGAACTCTCCCCATCAATCCTTCCGCCTTGCCTCCTCCTTCGCCTCTTTAAGATCACGAATGAAGGTCTTCCTCTTCTACCGTGCTACAATCACCTCCCTTCAGCTCACCATTAGGCTCTGCCACTATTAACGCTCCAAGACACTATTCCGTGTGAAAATTTTTGTTGATTACCTGAACAATGGGGGACCGAATCTGCAGCACTGCGAGCTTCTGATCGGCTGAAGCGTAAACTGGTTTAAACAGAAAATCCAAACATGAGCCGGTTGTGCTTAGGCTACAGATCAACTTACAACACCCCCATTCTTCAACTTACTAACATCCAACAACAACTTGGATGTATATAGTGCCTTCCACACCGGACGGCGACTCAAAGCTTTACCGTAACGGATCCCGGGGCCGAGCCAGGGGGAGGGGCCAGTGGAGGGGGAGGAGCCATGGGGAGGGGGAGGAGCCATGGGAGGGGAGGAGCCATGGGAGGGGAGGAGCCAAGGGGAGGGGGAGGAGCCGGGGGTAGGGTGGGGGAGGTGACCAAAGGCACGGTCAAAAAGAAAGGTCTTCAGCCGAGACCTGAAAATAAGAAGGGGGGGAGCGAGGGGAAGGGAGTGAGGAAGGCAGTTCCAGAGCCTCGGGGGGTAGGGGCTGAAGGTACGGCCGCCGATGGAGGAGAGGAGGACTCGGGGGACGAGGAGGAGGCCAGACCCGGAAGAACGAAGGCAACCGGCACTATTGTGAGGGGACAGGAGGTCAGAGAGGTGGGGGGGTGCAGAGGAGAGCAGGGACTTGAAGACAAGGGTGAGGATCTTGAAGTCGATCCTCTCTGGGACAGGAGCCGGTGCAGTCTGGCCAGGACTGGGGGGATCGGGAGTGGAGTTTGGGGGTGGGGGTGAGAGCCAGGACTGGGGGGATCGGGGAGTGGGGTTTGGTGCGGGCGAGAATGCGGGCGGCAGAGTTCTGAATGATTTGGATTTAATGGGTGGTAGTGGAGGGGAGACCGGCGAGGAGGGCGTTGGAGTAGTGCAGCTGAGAGGTGACAAAGGCATGGACCAGGGTTTCAACAGCTTTCTGAGAGAGGTATTGGCGGAGACGGGCGATGCGTCGGAGGTGGAAGAAAGCGGTGCTGGTGAGGGACCGGATGTGGGGGAGGAAGGATAATTGGGGGTGGATCCTGACGCCAGGGTTGTGTACGGGTTCGAAGAGTTTTAGTGGGAGGTCGGGTAGTTGGAGGAGGTGAAAGCCGTGAGATTTTAAACGTTGACAAGAGCCAAAGAGTATGGCTTCTGTCTTGTCAACGTTTAGCTGAAGGAAATTCGGGCTCATCCAGCCCCTGAGGTCTGACAGGCAGCTGACAGAACATCAGGGGACTGGGGGTCGCAAAGAGAGGTGGAAAAATAGAGTTGGGTGTCGTCCGCATACATGTGGAAGTGTACCCCATGTCTGTGGATGACATCCCCAGAGGGAGCATATAGATCAGAAAGAGGAGGGGCTAAGGATGGATCCTTGGGGTACCCGCAGGTGACCGGGTGAGAGGGGGAGGAGAAGCCGTTTGTGCAGATGTACTGCTGGCGGTTTGTGAGGTAGGACTCGAACCGGGCGAGTGCGGTCCCACTGAGGTGGATGACAGAGGAAAGGGGGTGGAGGAGGATGGTGTGATCGACTGTGTCGAAAGCGGTGGAGAGGTCCAGGAGGACAAGGAGGCAGAGGGAGCCCTGGTCACAGATAGAGAGGATGTCGTCTGTGACTTTCACAAGTGCAGTCTCTGTACTGTGGGCGGAAACCGGACTGGAGGGGTCCGAAGAGGAAGTGGGAGGAGTGTGCGCAGAGTTGGTTGACCACAACCCGTTCTAGAGCTTTTGAGAGGAAGGGCAGGTTAGACATAGGGCGGTAATGGCTGGGGTTTGAGGGATCTAAGGAGGGTTTTTTTGAGGAGGTGGGTGATGACAGCAGTTTTGAGGGACTGATCCGGAGGAGAGGGACTGGTTGATGATGTCAACCAGTAGTGGGCAGACGAGGGGGAGCTGAGTGATCAGTAAGTTGGTGGGGAGGGGGTCGAGGCAGCAGGTGGTGGATTTCATGGAGGTGATGGTGGGTGAGAGGGAGGAGGGAGAGATGGGGATTAAGGAACGTAGGATGGGGGTCGCAGTAGGAGCTGATGATGAGGAAGGTGAGGGGGGCAGAGAGGGCCGGTGGTGGGTGACAAGGGGCAGGTGGATGAGGCTGCCTGGCGGATGTTACGTATTTTAGATGAAAAGACGTCCATGACCTCCTCGCACTTGGCATTTGATACGAAGATTGAGGAGGCCTGAGGGGGGGCCACGGAGGACACAACAACAACAACAAAATTACTTTCATAGAGCGCTTTTCACGTTGGGAGGACGTCCGAAAGCGCTGATGGACGTAGTGGGTGGTGGAAAAAAGGACGTTAGGATTGTTTTTTGACTCCAAGATGGTGTTGGAGTAGAAACCATTTTTGTGTGCCTCAAAGAACGGCAGTAGCTGTGGAGGTACTCGAGCCACAGTTGGTGATGAACTGTCAGGCCAGTTTTCTGCCATCTGCGCTCGAGCAGCCGGGTTTGGGTCACTTATAGCAATATAGAAATTGCTGGATGAAAATAATAATAACAGTTGGGCTGGTTTGGCTACTCGTAAGCACACTGATAGATTTCCGTGTGTTTCAAGACACCGGACTGACCAAAAAATAGACTGGAATTATCATCCAATGATGTGGAACTATCGATATTGTGTTTCACATCACCAGTCTCAATTTTAACTGCTTTATTGTCAACTACGTTTCGCCCACAAAACACACAGTCACTACACTTTACAGTGTATCCTGTGAAGCGCTTTGAGACGTCAAGAAGACGTGATCAGGTGCTGTATCAAATGCCGGTATTATTATTATTAACTAAAACATTGTATTCGAAAAGATATAGGAAGTGGTGTATCCATTGCACATGGGCTTCAAATGCCCTCTAGTGGTAGACACAGCATCACTCACTATGGAATGATGCACTGCCACCATCTAAGTTGGGAGACGTTTCTTTACAATTTATCATATAAGATACAGTAACTCCTGATAACCTGTCACTCCAAGGGCAAAGAGCTCAATGGGAAGTTAGACAAGTGTATAAATGTGCAAATAAAAACGGCCGGGATATTAACAGCACGATGACTTAAGTGGGAGTGACACGTTAAGCCAGGGTCGAGTTACCAGGAGTTTACTGTATATGTATTAAATTCTTCACTGAACTAATTATTGACAAATAATCTTCTCTTTATCTTTTCCTATATCGCTAAAGACACCCAACAATGACAAACTCCCCACTCACCCTGTGAGCTGGTGCACAGATCTGCTGAATTCTCTGCAGTTGTTGCGTACGGGTTGTTTCCTGCCACTGGAACAAGGCAATCTGTGTGGATATACCCAACGGCCGGCAGAGCGAGAGTGGACACAATCAGATCCACTGCCAACTGACCCACGTTCCCCACAGACACTGCCGGCTGGAAAATAAACTCAATATTAAACCACTTAAACATTGTGTAATATTAAATCCCATACACCTCAGTAAAGCTATAAGCAGCTTATAAAGCTCTCTTTACTATAATAATCCTGGCATTTGATACAGCGCCTTATCACGTCTTTGAGACGTCTCAAAACGCTTCACAGAATATACTGTAAAGTGTATTGACTGTATATTTTGTGGGCAAAATGTGACAGCCAATTGTGCACAGCAGCGTCCCACAAACAGTCGTGGATTGAGTGAGCAATTTATTATTATTATGAAGGAATTATTACCCCCAGAAAAGCGATCTGTCAATTGACTAACAACTGAGTTCCTACTGATGGCTCAAATGTGGAGACTGTGGGCTGAGGAGGAGACCGGGGGCTGAGGTGTGGAGACCGGGGGCTGAGGTGTGGAGACCGGGGGCTGAGGTGGAGACCGGGGGCTGAGGTGTGGAGACCGGGGGCTGAGGAGGAGACCGGGGACTGAGGTGTGGAGACCGGGGGCTGAGGCGGAGACCGGGGGCTGAGGTGTGGAGACCGGGGCTGAGGAGGAGACCGGGGGCTGAGGAGGAGAGACCGGGGGCTGAGGAGGAGACCGGGGGCTGAGGAGGAGACCGGGGGCTGAGGTGTGGAGACCGGGGGCTGAGGAGGAGACCGGGGGCTGAGGAGGAGACCGGGGGCTGAGGAGGAGACCGGGGGCTGAGGTGTGGAGACCGGGGGCTGAGGTGTGGAGACTGTGGGCTGAGGCTGAGGTGAGTACCGGCACCAGAGCCCAATGCCCCAAAACTGCAGTGGTCGTTAATTAGCGACAAACACAGTCACTACACTCTACACGTCTCCTGGAAAGCGCTTTGCGACGTCTCGATGACGTCATGAGGCGCTGTATCAAACCGAAGATTATTATTAGAAACGACAATAAACAATAGCGGTATTTACAGCTCCGCTCCCGCGCGCGGCCTCGGGACGCACCAGCACCAAAGTGAAGCCTTTAAAGTCCACACACGGAGCGGCCGCCGCGCGAATGAACACCGCCTCCATTTTGGCTCCTGTCGTGTCGCACATTGCCAGGGGCGGGGCTTCCGCTCCGTTTGGCGCACAACATTCACGTCACCGAGGGCGACATGTAGCGCCTGTGTCAATAATAATAATAATTCTGGCATTTGATATAACTCCTTATCACGTCGTTTTATCTCAAAGCGCTTCACAGGATATTCTGTAAAGTGAAAGCGCTGTGGGGGCGCGTGAAGGGCGCTATATACTGTAAATACTATTTGTTGTTGACTGTCATTTTTAGATAAAATGTCTAATCAGGAGGAAATATTTGTTCAAAAATTGGATAAAAACAAAGTCCTTGGGGCGGGTTGGGGGTTGGGATTTGGGGGGTTATTGAATCAGGCGGATGAAGCGGGCAGCTTCCCGCTGGGTTTTGGCGCCAAAAGTTTTCAAATGGGGTCTTGAGAGGTCGTTACCGGGGAAACGAGACTCGTCACAGGGTCTCAGCGTCAGAGGCTCCGGGAGGTGGACCCGGAGAGAGGGGGAGAGACCCGGGGAGAGGGGGGGAGAGACCCGGGGAGAGGGGGAGAGACCCGGGGAGAGGGGGAGAGACCGAGACCCGGGGAGAGAGAGGGAGAGACCCGGGGAGAGGGGGAGAGACCCGGGGAGAGAGGGAGAGAGAGACCCGGGGAGAGAGGGAGAGAGAGACCCGGGGAGAGGGGGAGAGAGTGTCCCGGGGAGAGAGGGAGAGAGAGTCCCGGGGAGAGAGGGAGAGAGAGACCCGGGGAGAGAGGGAGAGAGAGACCCGGGGAGAGGGGGAGAGAGTGTCCCGGGGAGAGGGGGAGAGAGAGACCCGGGGAGAGGGGGAGAGAGAGACCCGGGGAGAGAGAGAGAGAGTGTCCCGGGGAGAGGGGGAGAGAGAGACCCGGGGAGAGAGGGAGAGAGAGTCCCGGGGAGAGAGGGAGAGAGAGACCCGGGGAGAGGGGGAGAGAGTGTCCCGGGGAGAGGGGGAGAGAGAGACCCGGGGAGAGAGGGAGAGAGTGTCCCGGGGAGAGGGGGGGGGAGAGACCCGGGGAGAGAAGGAGAGAGTGTCCCGGGGAGAGGGGGAGAGAGAGACCCGGGGAGAGGGAGAGAGAGACCCGGGGAGAGGGAGAGAGAGACCCGGGGAGAGGGAGAGAGAGACCCGGGGAGAGAGAGAGAGAGTGTCCCGGGGAGAGGGGGAGAGAGAGACCCGGGGAGAGAGGGAGAGAGAGTCCCGGGGAGAGAGGGAGAGAGAGACCCGGGGAGAGGGGGAGAGAGTGTCCCGGGGAGAGGGGGAGAGAGAGACCCGGGGAGAGAGGGAGAGAGTGTCCCGGGGAGAGGGGGGGGAGAGACCCGGGGAGAGAAGGAGAGAGTGTCCCGGGGAGAGGGGGAGAGAGAGTCCCGGAGAGAGGGGGAGAGAGAGACCCGGGGAGAGAGGGAGAGAGAGACCCGGGGAGAGAGGGAGAGAGTGTCCCGGGGAGAGGGGGAGAGAGAGTCCCGGGGAGAGAGAGACCCGGGGAGAGAGAGAGAGACCCGGGGAGAGGGGGGGGGAGTGTCCCGGGGAGAGAGAGAGAGAGAGACCCGGGGAGAGGGGGGGGGAGTGTCCCGGGGAGAGAGGGAGAGAGAGACCCGGGGGGAGAGGGAGAGAGAGTCCCGGGGAGAGAGGGGGGGGAGAGACCCGGGGAGAGGGGGGGGGGAGAGTCCCGGGGAGAGAGGGAGAGAGTGTCCCGGGGAGAGGGGGGGGAGAGTCCCAGGGAGAGAGTGTCCCGGGGAGAGGGGGGAGAGAGACGCGGGGAGAGTGGGGGGGGGAGAGTCCCGGGGAGAGGGAGAGAGAGTCCCGGGGAGAGTGGGGGGGGAGACGCGGGTTGGCTGCGGTTGCAGGGAAGTGCCCGCCATGGCGTTGGCTCCAGGGAAGGCCTCGGAGCTGAAGCAGATCATCCACGAGCAGCTGAACAAAGTGAGAGCAGTGCCTCCAGATCAGGGAGTGTGTGTGTTCGGGGTGGGGGGGGGGCACTGTGTTCGGGGGGGGGACACTGTGTTCGGGGGGGGGGGGGGCACTGTGTTCGGTGGGGACACTGTGTTTGGTGGGGGGGGACACTGTTCGGTGGGGGGGCACACTGTTCGGTGGGGGGGCACACTGTTGGTGGGGGGGGACACTGTGTTCGGGGGGGGGCACTGTGTTCGGGGGGGGGAGCACTGTGTTCGGTGGGGGGGCACTGTGTTCGGGGGGGGGACACTGTTCGGGGGGGGGGGGCACTGTAGATGTGTAACCCCTAAATACACTGTTAATAAAAATTACAGAGTGCACTAATTTAACATTGTATTGAATTACAGTGACTCCACAGCAGGAACTCGCATTTATGTAGCGCCGTCGTGCGGTCAGTGCCTCAGAGGGGATAAGTTCTTTGAAACTGTTTTGTCTGAATGGCTCATAAAACAGGGTTCAGTGGCAGTCTGACCACCTGAGGGTTTAGTTGGTTACAGTTACCCCAACAACAACAACAACAAATCACATTTGTATAGCGGCTTTCACGTCAGGAGAATGTCCAAACGCACAAGCTTTGGCTGCGCCAAATACTTTCGGGAAGTTAAGATAAGGGATGTGTCCCTTCAGGGAGACAAAGCGAGAGAGAGCGCACTCCATCCCAACAACCTACTCTGGATTTCCATGTGTAGTTGGGATACATGGAATTCACCGTTTAGTTTGGAGACTCTTAAGCAGGTGACGGGTTTCTGCCTGTGTCAGACACACGGCTGAGCAAAAAAAAATTACTGGGTGTGGGGACTGGAAAGTCCAGCATCCCCTGATCCATCTTCAGATCCGTCCTGGACGACCCTTCGGCGACTATACTCCCAATCTCTGCAGCTCCCAGCCATGATCCCTCCTCCTCACCACTTTATCTTCAAAACCCACCTCTTCTTCCATGCTATGGTCACCTTCTTTCCCCTTTGCTTAGCATCCAATCCCCTCACTGTGAAGAGTGTTATATATAAATACTTTATTGTTGATTGTGGTACAATGTTGGTCAGGATTTCTGTCTCCACTCTCTGGAACTCCATCCCAGAGTCCCTTCACTTCGCCCATTCCCTCATCTCCATCAAGGTCTGTCTCAAAACCGATTGCACCTTCGGTCATTTCTTTCCCTACTCCTTGTTTCACATCCCTACTGAATCCAACTCCTAGCTCCAGTACATACCCTTGACTATCCAGTGCTTGGAACGTCCTCCCGACGGGAAAAGCGCTATATAAATGCAATTTGTTGTTCTTTGCGTATTTTTTCATTACACTTGATTGCGTGACAATGGTGTGGCTCTTATCTCCCGGTCCCCCCCTTGGCCTTTCCCCTTACTCCTCTGGAACCTTCCCCTCCTTTGAACATCTTACTCTCTACCACCCTTCCAGGTTTTCCCTAAAAATCCTCCTTGTTTTCCGTCCCCCCAAACCTTACCCCACCCTCAGCCCCAGACCCACTGCTGCCCTGACAGACTGTCTGTCTGCCCCCACCCTCAGCCCCAGACCCACTGCTGCCCTGACAGACTGTCTGTCTGCCCCCACCCTCAGCCCCAGACCCACTGCTGCCCTGACAGACTGTCTGTCTGCCCCCACCCTCAGCCCCAGACCCACTGCTGCCCTGACAGACTGTCTGTCGGACATCAAGTCCTGGATGAGGGCAAACTTCCTACAGTTGAATGTGAACAAGACTGAGGCCCTCCTGATCGTCTCCCCCCAGTGCCTCCGCACCTCAGGCTGTGGCAGCATCACCCTCCATGGTGTACACTACAACTCACCAACTCACCACCAGTCAGGAACCGAGGGGTCTTGTTCGACCCTCAACTGTCTTTTCTTCCCCACATCCAAGCCATGACCAGCTCTGCCTTCCCTCACCCCCGTAACATCGCCCGACTCCGCCACTACCTCACCCCTCAGGCGCTGAAACTCTTGTTCATGCCTTCATCACCTCCAGACTCGACTATGCAAACGCCTGCGTGTCGGCCTTCCCAACTCCTCCCTCCACAGCTGCAGATAATCCAGAACTCTGCACCAAACTCCATGACCCCATCTCCCCCATTCTCGCCCTTTCTATTGGCTCCCTATCTTTCAGAGGATCCAGTTTAAGGTCCTGGTCCTCACCTACAAAGCCCTCCATGGCATCGCCCCACCCTACCTCTGCGACCTCCTAACCCCCTACCAACCCGCCCGTTCCCTCTGCTTACCCGGCTCAGGCCTGCTCCACGTCCCCCGCCCCACCATTGGCGGGAGAGCCTTCAGCCACTCTGCCCCCAAACTCTGGAATTCCATCCCCCAATCACTCTGCCTCGCCCTCTCCTTAGCCTCCTTCAAGTCCCTCCTCAAAACCCTCCTCTTTGATCATGCCATCGGCCACCCCCATTCCCCTCCCTTCTCCCCCCTTCCCCTCCCCTCCCTTCTCCCCACCGATCCCATCTCGGGTCTGAAATGCTGTACACTGTCCAGCACCTTGGGACGTCCTCCCAACGTGAAAGGCGCTATACAAATGTAATTTTGTTGTTGTACACTTTCCAGTAATCATGTGAAGTGCCTTGAGATAGTATGATGACATGATGAAGCACTATGTCAAATACAAGGATTATTATTACTGTATCCCATGTTTGAAAAGTTGTATTGCCCATGTAATTCCATACGTATTAATAAGTATGTATATCCTTAGTATAGTCGTGTCCCACACTATAAGAAGGGTGTACTGTGCACTCTTGCTGACATAGGGTGCAGGTGCAGACGGCCTCCAGCCATCCGAGCAACTGTAGTAAATAATACTGATCTTTGCATCTCATACACACCTTTTTTTTTAGCACGCCCCTTTATAACACAGGGTCCGACTGTGGACCCAAAACATTGTGTTATAATGGGGTGAGCCAGGAAATAAATACTCCTTGTAGGTAATAAAGAAGTTCTCTCGACGTGAAAGGTGGTATACAAATGTAATTTTGTTGTTGTAAAATAACAAATCATCTGAAAGCAAGGAATTGCTGTCAAATATAGTTTTTTTAAAAAAAAATCTGTACCTAATACGCTCCAGAATTCGGTAAGTAGGATGTCCCTCCAGCGAGAGAGGGAGAAAGCGCATTCCATTCCAACAATCTAACTGGGATTTCCATGTGTAGGTGGGATGTATGGAATTCTCAGTTTGGTTTGGAGACTCTTAAGCAACGTTGATGAGTTTCCGCATGTGACTGACACCCTCCTCATCCAAAAAACAATTAATGGGTTTCGGGACTGGCTCAGCTCTCTTGCCTCTGAGTCGGAGGCTTAATAACAAAATAATAACAATCCTTGCATTTGATATAGCGCTTTTCACATCTTCTAGATATCTCAAAGCGCTTCACAGAATATGCTGTAAAGTGAATTGACTGTATATCTATGGGTGAACCGCGGCAGCCAATTACGCACAGCAGTGAGTGTCCCACAAACAGTCGTTGGATTGAAATGACCAATTTATTATTGTGTATTTTTTCGTGAGGGATTATTATCAGGTGTGTGGAGTAAGTAAACTTGCCCAAGGAATTGAACCAAGAGCTCTCGCTTGCAAAGAGAGTGCTCTAAACATTGATCTATTGGACTGCAGGTCCTTCTGGGTTGACTTCAAAACCCTCATGTACAAATGCCTTCACTCCCTCACAGCTCCCCACTACCTCTCTAACCTGCTCGTCATCCCTCTCCCCCTTTGCTCAGCTAGCTCAAGCCCAGCGTCCGCTGACCCATTGTCACAAACATTGAGGTCGAAACTTTGGCCACTACACCCCGAACCTCTGGAATTCCTTCTTTATTTAAGTGTCATGCAACTGTTTTTGATAAAGGTCCAGTTATTTGGTGCTGTGTGTGGAGGCATTTTCAAACTAAAAGGAATGTGGGCCAGTTTGTGTTAACTTCTGACATGCTCTGACTAGATGGATATCCATTCCAAGGTCAGGGAAGTGCTGGCAGAGTCTGTGCGGGAGGAGCTGGGGATCAGCATTGAAACGCTCTCTGAGGAGGATCTCGTGAACGCGTTACGACGACGTGGAATTGTAGATGACGTCATGAAGGAACTCCGTTTTGTTACTGTAAGTATTTTATCCCCATCAATCATCCACGTCCTAAGTGCTCTTCAGTGATTTACTACAGTGAGGGCAAAGAAAACTCTTAAAATAATAAATAAAGAAGCTGGTGATTTTATTTCTTTATGGATACAGTAAAACTCGGATAAGTGGAGGATTATTGGAGAGTGGCTAATGTTATCCCACTCTACAAAAAGGGGCAGAAAGACAAGCCCGGAAATTACAGGCCAGTCAGCCTAACTTCGGTCATAGGAAAACTACTGGAGACCATAATCCGGGACAGAATAAATCTCTACTTAGAGGAACACGAGGTAATTAGAGACCCCCAACATGGATTTGTTAAAGGCAAATCTTGCCTAACAAATCTAATAGAATTTTTTGAAGAGGTGACTGCGAGGGTTGATGAGGGAAATGCGGTGGACATTATTTACATGGATTTTAAAAAGGCTTTTGACACAGTACCGCATAAGAGGTTAATAAAAAAACTGGAGGCCCACAGTATTAAGGGGACAGTAGCCGTTTGGATTAGGAACTGACTGAGTGACAGAAAGCAGAGGGTGGTGTTAATGGGTGTTTCTCGCAATGGACGGAGGTGTGCAGCGGTGTCCCCCAGGGATCGGTATTGGGACCACTGCTCTTTCTAATATATATTAATGATCTGGACTTGGGCATAGGGAGCACTATTTCCAAGTTTGCAGATGATACCAAGTTAGGTCGGGTAGTAAATAGTGAAGAAGATTGTGACGGACTGCAGACAGACACACACAGAATGGTGGAATGGGCTGACATGTGGCAGATGGGTTTCAATGTGGATAAGTGTGAGGTGATACACTTAGGGAGGAAGAATGATAGGAGACAATATAGGCTTTGTAGCTCAATCTTAAGGGGGTGAACGTACAGAGAGATCTGGGCATTCAAGTAAGCGATTCATTGAAGGTGGCAGAGCAGGTAGATAGGGCAGTAAAAAGGCATTTGGTGTACTGAGCTTTATTAGTAGGGCACAGAGTATAAGAGTAGGGGTTATGGTTAATCTGTACAAAACACTGGTTAGGCCTCAGCTGGAGTACTGCGTCCAGTTCTGGGCACATTACCTCAGGAAGGACATTAAGGCACTGGAAAGGGTACAGAGGAGATTCACGAGAATGATACCAGGAATGGGGAACCTTAGCTATGAGGACAGTGGAGAAGTTAGGACTTTTCCCATTAGAGCAGAGAAGGTTACGCGGGGACCTGATAGAGGTCTTCAAGATCATGAAAGGTTTCGACAGGCGAGATAGGGAAAGCTGTTTCCGCTGGTAGGTGTGTCTGTGACCCGCGGTCACAGTCTGAAGATATCTACCAAAAGAAGCAGAGGGGAGGTTAGAAGAAATGTTTTCACTCAGCGAGTTGTTGGAATTTGGAATGATCCGCCCGAAAGGGCAGTGAAGTCCGATTCGATAACAGCTTTTAAGAGAGAACTGGACAGGTATCGGGGAAGACGGGTTTGTGGGGTTATGGGGAGAAAGCTGGTGATTGGGGTCAGTGAAAGTGACGCTCTGTCAAAGAGCCGCACAGACTCGATGGGCCGAATGGCCTCCTGTGCCGTAAGATTCTATGAAGTCTGATCTGCATAAATTGTATAATCAAATATAAGTCGTATATCTGCCCAGGTCCTGTTCAAGAGTTTATATTCTATGCAAGTTTGATATAACTCACATTTTGCATAAGTCATGTTATATATGCCAACTGATACAACTTATGTGAGGTTTACTGGGTAGCAGAATAATGATTCTTACATTTAGAATAGTACCTTTCACCCCCGAAGACATTTCAAAGTGCTCCACATGGTAGAGTGTAAAGTGGGTATAGTGTAAAGTATTGTGATTTTTTTCCATGCTTCAGTCTCCAAACCAAATTGAGAATTCCATATATCCGACTTACACATGGAAATCCCAGAGATAGATTATTGGAATAGAATGCACGCTCGTTCTCTCCCTGGAGTGACAAAACCTGCCTACCTAATTCCGGAATGTATTAGGCGCAGGTTGGCAAGAGCCAAGGCTCCAGTGTGTGTGTTGGGGTAACTGCTGGAGTCTAACCAGCTAAAACCACACATAGCTTGCCATTGATGGCACTGTCTGGCCAGCTTTCCTTACATCTAGACACTTTAGAGACATTTGGTGATACTGATTGATTGAGATAGTATTATATATTCAATACCAGTTTATCTGACCAAATCTAGGGGTAAAAATACCGCCAAAAAAAAAATCAGGGTCGCTTAATCCACGACTGTTTGTGGGACACTGCTGTGCGCAATTGGCTGCCACATTTCACCCACGACTGTTTTGACAAAATATACAGTCAATTCACTTTACAGTATATTCTGTGAAGTGCTTTGAGACATCTCAAAGACCTGATAAGGTGCTATATCAAATGCAAGGATTATTATTATTGACTAATATATATAATCTTTGTAACCATTTATTTTATTTGACATGAGGCTATTGTGACACGCTATCAATTTATTTTCTGAGGAAACAGGGATTTTGAAAAGAACAATGTGATTTTTTTTGTTTCCAGAATGCGATGGGCAAAGAAGTTGCATCTTCTTCGAAACCATCCACGCATATTGTGGATAAGGAACCAGCTGAATTAAAGCAAAGTGAGTCACTGCGCTATTGTATTGTCTTTGTTGATCGCTTGTCAAAGCTTGGTCTCACTTTATACAACTATCATCAGTCCGGTTCCTGAGCCAGGAGGGGCTGCAGTATCCCAGGGCACTCACTGCTGATGGCAGCACAGCCCGGCCCGGCTCATCAGCAGGACCTGGAAGGGCCGACCAGTCACTGGGGGCGGGGAATCCCCCCCCTCAGCTCCTGGTAACCCCACAGCCAAAGCCCTAACTAACGGGGAGGGGGGTCCTCGCTGGAAAAGCAGCGGGAAAGCTGCCGGACAGTGATATCAATGGCCGAGCTGTGCGGTTTAGCTGGTGAGACTCCAGCAGTTACCCCAACACACACTCTGGGGTGCACAAGCCTTGGTTTTAGCCAACTGTGCCTAATACTCTTCGGAATGAGGTAAAACAAAATTGGGTGGGGGGGGGGCCTCTGACACATGCGGAAACCCATCACTGTGCTTAAGAGAATACAAACCAAACTGAGATTTCCATATATCCCACCTGCACATGGAAATCCCAGAGACAGGTTGTTGGAATGGAATGTGCTTTCTCTCCCTGGAGGGATGCATCCTGCTTACCTAAATCTGTAAAGTATTAGGCGCAGGTTGGCATCATTTTCAGATAATGATCCATTGCCATGTTCGGTGACATCTTCCCTCACATGGATGGAGTGAAGAGGCCAAATGTATCTGTGACGACTTGTCCCAGCTCCTCCGTAAACTCACATCACTGTATTGTAACAGGTGGGTAATAAGACCTGTACAGTACTCATTCACAAGCAGAAGGTGTTAAACAGTGTGTTGCTGAGTTCATTTCCCCTTTCAAAACCTCAAGGCTGCTGAAGTCCCATCAGTGGCATTTCCATACAGACTTGCCCGCTCAGCGTGCTCCACCCTATCCCCCACATCATCGGCGATCTTGCCTTAAGCCTCTCTGCCCCCACCCTTTGGAACTCTCAGCTCGTCCCCTTCCTTACCTCCTTCAAGGCACATCTCAAGAAAGATCCTCCGCTTCGACTGTGCCTTTGGCTATCTCCTATCCCCACCGTCACTATCCTCCACTGCTCCTGATCCCAATCCCCACCTCGGGTCCGAATCCTTGACTGTCCAACGACTTTGGACCTCCTGATGTCAAGGGCTTTGTATAAATGTAATTTGTTGTTATTTATTTAAAAATATTTTGTTGTCAGTGAAAAAAGGCCTATAAAACAGTTTAAATTGCTCACTGGTTGATGCATTGTTGAGAGAGAGAGCAGGGTTTGACCCTCGTATCTGCTTTCATATCATCAAGGCTCAACTATGCAAACTCACTGCTTGTCAGCCCCCAACTCCTCCCTCCACAGGCAGCAGATCATCCAGAACTCTGCAGCCCGTGTCCTCTCCCGCACCAAACTCCGTGACCCTATCACCCCCATCCTCGCCCGACTCCACTGACTTCCCATTATAGTGGATACAGTCCAAGATCCTGGTCCTCACCTTCAAAGCCCTCCCTGGTCTTGCTGCCCCCGACCTCTGTCACCTCCTAACCCCCTACCATCCTGCTCACTCCCTCCGCTCAGTGGGCTCTGGCCTGCTTCACATCCCCCGCCTCGCTCACCCCACCATTGGTGGGCAGGCCTTCAGCCACTCTGCCCACACCCTCTGGAACTCCATCCCACAGTCCCTCCGCCTCACCCCCTCCCTCACCCCCTCCCTCGCATCCTTCAAGACACATCTCAAGACCCTCCTCTTCGACTGTGCTTTCGATCTCCCTGCTTCCCTGCGTGGAGTCCTGTAGCTCAGTGGTTAGAGCACTCGCTTTGCAAGCGAGAGACCTGAGTTCAATTCCAGGCAGAGGGTGAAACCTCGGGCAAGTTTCCTTACTCCACACAGAGCCTAATAATAATCCTCCAAATACCAAAAACAATAATAAATTGGTCATTTTCAATCTACGACTGTTTGTGGGACATTGCTGTGCGCAATTGGCTGCCGCGTTCGGCCACAAATATACAGTCAATTCACTTTACAGTATATTCTGTGAAGTGCTTTGGGACGTCCTCCCGACGTGAAAAGTACTATATCAAATGCAAGGATTATTATTATTATTATCCCCCCCCGCCCTCCACCCTCCCCGAACCTGACCCCCAACTCGCGTCCATAACTCTGTAAATCCAGCACCTTGGGACGTCCTCCGGACGTGAAAGGCGCTTCACAAATGTAATTTTGTTGTTGTTGTTGATAACAAGTTAAGTTTTGATTGTGAAATCCACAATGATCAAACCGCTGCTTACAGTAACTCTCTGCGAGTTTGCATTTGAAGGATGGCCACTGGAGAGGTCTCTGTAGAACGTTACTCCAGCAAGTGAGCTCCTTCAGGCAACGTGTGAGAAAAATCAGAAAATTGAAAAATGATTTTATGTCTGTAATAATAAAAAGGATGTTGGAATAATAAATTCAGGGCCATAGGGACTGTGCAAGTTCACACAACTTCACTATTGTCCCTCCTCTTCGACTGTGCTTTCGCCTCTCCTCTTCGACCTTGCCTTCGGTCACCCGCCTTCACCCCTGCCCTCCACCCTCCCCCACCCTGACCCCCAGCTCAGGTCCGAAACGTCCTCCCGATGTGAAGGGCGCTATATAAATGTAGTTTTGTTGTTGTTGTTGAAAGAGGCGCGGTAATTAATCCTGTATTCTTAAAACATACATTCACACACTTCCATTTATGGAGTCCTGTAACATATTGGTCAGAACACTTGCTTCACAAGCGAGAAACCTGGGTTTGATTCCCAGGAGGGCGAAACGTTGGGCACATTTCCTTGCTCTACACACCTCTGTTTACCTAGCAGTAAGTAGGAACCTGGTTGTTAGTCGGCTGGCAGATTGCGTTTCCGGAGGTAATAACTGTGTGTGGGATACTGCTATTGGGAATTGGCTACCATGTTTCACCCGCAAAATATACAGTCACTACACTACACAGTCACTACACTTTACAGTATATTCTGTGAAGCGCTTTGAGCTGTGATTCAACGACGTGCTAAGGCGCTATAACAAATGCAAGGATTATTATTATTATTGTCATTTCAGCCAATATTGATCCTAGCAGAAGATACTTGTACCTCCAGGTTTTGGGAGGAAAGGCTTTCCTGGAGCACCTGCAGGAACCACAGCCTCTCCCTGGACACGTCTGCACCACCTTTACCCTCTTCCTGCATTTCCGCAATCAGAGGTTTCAGTCCAAGCCCGTGCCGTGTGCCTGTGAGCCTGACCTGCAAGATGGCTTTCTGCTAGAAATACACAGAGATTGTCTAGGTGAGAGACGTTCAGCTTATCCACCCTTTCATCACATCCAGGGCAGACCAGTCACTGGGGGCAGGGTATCCTCCCACTGTAAGGGCTTTGGGACGCTACCCTGCATGAGCTACGCTCTATAAATGCAAGTTGTTGTTAACCCTGTAAGCCAAAGCCATAATGGTCCCAGCTGGACAAGCAGCAGAAAAGCTTGCTAGATAGTGCTCTCAATGGCCAGTTATGTTGTTTTAGCTCAAACAGTTACCCCAATGCACACTCTGGGTTCCTCAAGCTCTTGCCAACCTGCATCTAATACTCTCTGGAATTAGATAAGTAGGTTGTGTCCCTCCAGGGAGAGAGAGCTCATTCCATTCCGACAAATCTGTCTCTGGGAATTCCATGTGTAGGTGGGATACATGGAAATTTCGGTTTGGTTTGGAGACTTTTAAGCACGGTGATGGGTTTTCGCACGTATCAGATACCTCCCCCGCACCCCCCAAAGACTTAACTACCTTCCCAACTCCCTCCACAAACTACAAATTATTCAGAACTCTGCAGCTTGTGTCCTCTCCCGCACCAGGCTTTCCTCGCCCAGCTCCACTGGCTCCCCATCCCCCAGAGAATAGTCCAAGATCCTCACTTTTAAAGCCCTCATGGTCTCACTCCACCCTACCTCTGTGATAGACTAAACCAACCAGTGATCAGGCCATCATTCTCTCTGCTCCCACCATCTGGAACTCCATCCTGGAGCCCCTCCACCTCACTCCCTAACTTGCCTCCTTCATAATAATAATAATTTGGTCACTCAACCCACGACTGTTTGTGAGACACTGCTGTGAGCAATTGGCTGTGTTTCGCCCACAAATATACAGTCAATTCACTTTACAGTGTGTTCTGTGAAGTGCTTTGAGATGTCGAGAAGAGTTTGGCAGGGAGTGTCAGTCAGTGACACAGTACTGAATAGGGCGTCATAATCCAACATAACCTCACTAGCTGCCATACATGTGGAGCACTGTAGCTCAGTGGTGAGAGCACTCGCCTCGCAAGTGAAAGACCTGGGTTTGATTCCCGGCAAGGTGAAATTTTGAGCGAGTTTGCTTACTCCACACAACTCTGTTTACCTAGCGGTAAGAAGAAACCAGGTTGTTAGTTGATTGGCGGATCGCTCTCCAGAGTAATAATTCCTTTTTTTTTAAAAAAATGTGGTTACTCAATCCACTTCTGTGTGCAATTGGCTGCTGCATTTTACATAAGAACATAAGAAATGCTGGACGAAAAAAGACCAAGGTCCATCTAGTTGGCCTTCCACCTCCCTGGCGGTCACATGCACATATGTCTGTCCCCATCTCCCTATGTGCTGTATCCCATCATGTTATTCCCTAAAACAAAACTATCTAATCTGTGATTGAAAGAATCAACATTTCCTGCTTCAACCGTCTCCCCAGGGAGCCTGTTCCACAGGGTCACTATTCGCTCACTGAAATAGTGTTTGCGTAGATTTGTTCAATCGTAGGCCGTGTCCCCTGGTTTACTATTCTGGACACGTTGAAGCAGCCCGTCATGATCCAGATTGTTTTGCCCCTTTAGAACCTTAACGACAGCAATCACGTCGCCTCTCACTCTTCTCTTTTTCACCGTGAACATGCCCAATTTACTCAGTCGCTCCTCACAGTCCAGTCCTTCCATTCCCTCAGTCATTTTGGTTGCCGTCCTCTGTATCTTCTTGATTTCTCCAATATCCTTTTTGTACTGCGGTGACCAGAACTGTACACAGTCTCTATGTACAGTCTCACCAATGATTTATACAGTGGCACTATTACCCCACTATTTCGGCTGCTATTGATCTTTTTGATAACAATATAATAATAATCCTTGCATTCAATATAACGCTTTTCACGTCTTCTCGACATCTCAAAGCACTTCACAGAATAGACTGTAAAGTGAATTGACTGTATATTTGTGGGCAAACGCGGCAGCCAATTGTCACAGCAGTGTCCCACAAACAGCCGTGGATTGAGAATGACCAATTTATTATTGTTTTGTTTTTGGAGGGATTATTATTAGGCTCTGTGTGGTACATCCCAACATCTGGTTTGCTTTACTCACTGCCACAGAGCATTGTTGGGAGAGCTTCGATTTATTGTCAATCAGAATCAAGGATCCTTCTATTCAAATAATAGTCCTTTCCTGGATTTTTTGTCCCCATGTGAAATGCTTTACATTTCTTCACATTGAATTTCATCTGCCACTGATCTGCCCAATTCCCAAGTATGTTCAAATCCTCCTGTAACCTCTCTTGTTCAGTTTCAAATCTACCACCTATTTAAGGAAGGATGTACTTGCCTTGGAGGGGTTGCAGCGTAGATTTACTAGGTTAGTACCAGAGATGAAGGGGATGAGTTACGAGGACAGGCTGACCAATTTGGGCCTTTATTCTCTAGAATATAGAAGAATCAGAGGGGATCTTATAGAAACCTATCAAAGGGCATGATAGAGTAGATAGTGGGAGATTGTCCCCCGGTTGGAGAAACTAAAACCAGGGGTCACAACCTTAAAATCAGAGGCAGCCCTTTCGCACTGAGTTGAGGAAGAACTTCTTCACTCAAAGGGCAGTGAATGTATGGAACTCACTACCCCAAAGGGCTGTTGACGCTCAGTCCTTGAACATATTCTAGACTGAGATAGATTTCTTATTGCAAAAGGGATTAAGGGATATGGGGGTAAGGCAGCGTCAGGTTATTAGCCAGAGTTAGATTAGAAGATCAGCCATGATTGAATGGCGGGGCAGGCTCGAAGGGCCGAATGGCCTCCACCTGCTCCTACATGTTATGTTATGTCCCAAAACAGACCCTTGGGGAACTCTACTGGTAACATTTTCCCAGTCTGATGACATTCCCTGTACCACCACTCTCTGGATTCCTCCAGTCAACCAATTACGTATCCATTGTAATTTACCTCCACCGATTCCTGCTTTCTTTACTTTCAGTACCAGCCTCTCAAGAGGAACTGTAACAAAGGCCTTACTGACATCCAGATATACAACATTCACAACGTTACCCTTATCAAGCTCCTTGTCACACCATCAAAGAAACCAGTAAATTAGATTGGCAAGACCTTCCCTTCATGAACCCATACTGACTATCATTTATGATTTTATTTCTGTCCAGACGCTCCATGATTTTATCCTTAATAAGAGTCTCCATAATTTTACCCACAATGGACGTCAAATTTACTGGTTTGCAGTTTCCTGGGTCAATTTTGTTACCTTTCTTAAAAATAGGAGTAACATCTGCCTTTCTCCAGTCCCCCGGCACCTCTCCAGTATTCAGTGATTTTTGAAAGATGTGTGCCAGCGTTTCTGCGACTTCCTCCCTTAGTTCCTTAAGGTTACTTGGATGCAATTTATCCGGACCCTGAGATTTATTTACCTTAAGTTTACGCAGCTGTTTGGCAGCGATGCTGATAGTGATATGAATATTGTGGCAACTTTTCTCTGTGACATCTTTGAGTTCTCTTTCCAGATCAGATAGGTTACCTGTCTCCTCCTTGGTAAAGACTGATGCAAAAAAATTATTTACCACTATTGCAGCTTGTGCAGCATTATTTGTCATGTTGTCTCCTGAACCCACCTTCAGTGGCCCTATTCCATTGCTTGTTTCTCATCTACTCCTAATGCAACTAAAAAAACTTTTTGTTATTATCCTTCATATCTCTTTGCCCTTCTGATGCCTTTTTTTCAGTCCTGGCATGCTGTTTGGTATTGAATCTTAATTTTGAGCCATTTTACTTCATGGCCTTAAATGCCTTTTTTTCCTCTTCATGATTTGCTTTGTAGCCCAGTCCAACCAGGCTAGAGTGCCTTTGAGCTTGATACCTTTGCTTCGCGTGGGTACATTGTTCCATTGCCTTCATCATCATCTCCTTGAAGGAACTCCATTGGTCCTCCACTCCCATTGCCATATTGAAGCCTGCCATGGCCCACTCCGATTAGACTTCTCAAGCACACAAAGTCAATCCTCTTGAAATTTGGCAGTTTTGCAGTCAGTTCACTTTACAGTATATTCTGTGAAACGCTTTGAGATGTCTCAAAGGCACGATAAGGCACTCTATCAAATGCAAGGATTATTATTATACATGCACTATCAACAACAACAACTTGCATTTATATTGTGCCCCTCATGCAGGATAGTGTTCCTCACGCAGTGTAGTGTCCTAGATCGCTTGACAGTAGATGTGCTACAGCAGTAAAAGGAGCCAGAGCCCTGCCTGATGTGTTTCTCCTCTCCTACAACCCATTCAGATGTGCCCCTTCAATTAAATTCAGTCAGAATTAAAAATTACGATTGAATGTAAGAACTTTCCAAAATTCTGCGCCATTATTTTATCACTTTATCAGTCCTTTGAATGAGATGTTAAACTGAACTTCCCGTCTGCCTGTTCAGGTGGGCGTTAAAGATCCTGTGATGCTATTTGAAAAGAAGGGAGTTTCTCTCCTGGTCTCTTGGTCAACAATCTCCCAAATAAAAAAAATTGGTCACTCACTCCACGACTCTTTGTGGGACACTGCAATGCACAACTAGCTACCACGTTTTGCCCAAATAATACACAGTCACCACTTTACTGTATATTTTGTAAAGTGCTTTGAGACATCTTGATGGCATGATAAGGTGTTATATCAAATGCAAGGATTATTATTATTGCTTTCTGGTTGCTGTTTTTCTAGGTGACGGCAGTAAAATGGCTGACGCAACTGCGTTATTGTCGGTCTGCGATCCTGTGCACATGGTTCTGATAAAGACAGGCTCCGCCAGCGAAACCACCCTGGTGGCATCCCACTATCTGGAGTGGCGCTCTGTGCTCAGTACACCCAGTGGGAGAATGAGCATGGCTGTGGAGCTGCAGGGTGTAGGTATGAAGGTTTAACAGCTTGGTGGGAGATGAGTTGATTATTTTCAGCCTGCTCAGCTTGTCACACTCTTACCTCTGGGTGAAAAGATTTCAGGTTCAATTCCCATCCAGGTTTCAGCTCCCAGTCTAGGCTGACATTCCGGATGGAACAGGAATTAAATCAATCCACAAATGTTTGTGGGACGCTGCTGTGCACAATTGTCTGCCACTTTTCGCCCACAAAACACACAGTGAATTACAATGTATTCTGTGAAGTGCTTTGAGATATCTCAATGACGTGATAAGGTACTATATCAAATGCAAGGATTATTATTATTATAATGTCTCAAAGTTCTACAAACAACAATTTGCATTTATACGGCGCCCTTCACAGGGGTAGCATCTTGGAGCAAGTAACAGCTTTGTGGTTTGACACTGTGTCCGAAAGGTAGGGGAGGTGACCAAAGGCACAATCGAAGAGGAAAGTCTTCAGCTGTGATTTACAGCTGGGCAAAGAGGGGACAAGATGGAGGGACTGAGGCAGGGAGTACCGGAGATTTGAGGCGTAGTGGCTGAAAGCACAGCCTTCGATTGTGGAGCAGTGGAGATGAGGGATGTGCAGCAGGCCTGAGAGGGGGGAGGAGTGAGGTATGAGCAGATTGGAGACGAAGAAAGGTGCACACACGATGAGGACATTGCTGATTAAGGAGGGTTTTAATAATAATAATCCATGCATTTGATATAGCGCCTTATCACATTTTCGCAATGTCTCAAAGCGCTTCACAGAATATACTGTAAAATGAATTGACTGTATATTTTGTGGGTGAAACATGGCAGCCAATTGCGCACAGCAGGTTCCACAAACAAGTCGTGGATTGAGTGACCAAATTATTATTATTTTGAAGGAATTATTACCCCTAGAAAAGTGATCCGCCAATCGACTAACAACTGGGTTCCAATTTACTTCTAGGTAAACAGGTGTCTGTAGTAAGGAAACTTGCCCAACATCTCGCCTTGCCTAGGAATCGAACCCAGGTCTCTTGCTTGCGAGGCGAGTGTTTTAACCACTGAGCTATAATACTGAATGCAGGGAGAGAAGGTCCAAGGCAAAATGATTTGGGGGAGAGTGAGGCATTGTTATTATTAATTGTGCTGCGCTGTCAGGCCATGTGTTTCTGGTGAGAGATTCGTCTGCTTATTCTTCAGGTGGACGTTAAAGAACTCAACGTGACATTATTACCCAATATCATGGTTCCCACTCTGCCTCTGCAAAGCACTTCGAGACATTTCACTTCGTGAATTCACCATATGATCTAAATAAGTAGAAAACAAAATCTTAAAACTGCAGATATGCAAATCTGTGCAACAGGTCAAGTATCTGCCAGGCTGCTACTGAATGGGCCCATTATCAGGGCCAAGTGTTGTCAGTGGGGTTTTGTAAAAGGACATTGGTAATCTGAGCATGCACTAGATTAACCTCCATCATATTCTGCCTTTGCTGTCTGCTGTGAAGCAACTCAAGTAACACTTGTATTAGGAGTCCCGTGGTACAGTGGTTAGACTGCTCGCCTCGCAAGCGAGAGGACCCAGGTTTGATTCCCGGGCAGGTTGAAGCCTCAGGCAGGTTTCCTTACTCCACGCGCCTCTTTACCTAGCAGTAAGTAAGAACCCGGTTGTTAGTCGATTGGTGGATCACGGACCACTTTCTGAGGGTAATAATCCCTTCCCCAAAAAAATATTGTCACTCAATCAACGACTCTTTGTGGGACACTGCTGTGCGCAATTGACCATTAGGGGTAAAGGCTTGTGGAGTAAGGAAAGTTGCCTGTGGGTTCGACCTGCCTGGGTACTCTCGTTTGAGAGTCGAGTGTGCTAACCAATATGCTACACTTCCCAGTGTGTGTCCTGACCTCATGTCCTCTTGTTCCTCTGTCTCAGTGCATCCCACATGTCAGGGTAAAATGTAATCTATACCTTTACTGCACTCACTGCACAAGTGAATTCCAACTGGAATTCTGAAACCGTTATTAAATGGGATCCAATTTGGTCAGCCTGAATGCACTGACTGTAAATGTTACTCCCACTCACAGGTACAGAGTCAAAGGTTCCTGTCGGAGTTCTCAATATAAAACTTGAAATGTATCCCTGCCTGATGCAAACCTTGAGCCAGGAGATTTTGACCACCCAGGTACTGTTTCTGTTACTAAAATACCAATGAATGCTGTGTCTGTTATTAATTAAATACAGTGGAAGCTGCTTAAACTGGACACATCGGGGCCGGCGGTTTTGTCCTGTTTAAGCGGCGTCCGAGGTTAACCAAAGTTCTCTGACCTCTTCCTGCCCAGCAGAGGAGCGGCAACGCCTCGTCCCTCCCATTAGACGGGAGGACCGATTAGCAGCTGCTCTGAGGTGATTGACAGCCTGGAACCACTTGTGAATGTTTGGGCTCCTCCCAATCACAAGTGGCTCCAGCTGTCAATCAATCAGTCAATCAATCGTGATTTGACTCCTCCCATTGCCTCCCATGTTTCTTACCCGTTCCTCATTCCCCCCAACTTCTCACTGATTGACAGCCCGAAGCTGCTTATGAGTGGTTGGAGTCTACTGTCCATCCCCCAGTGCCTTCGCCGCTTCCTTCCTTTCCTCCTTCAAGGCCAGTCTCAAGACCTTTCTCTTTGACCGTACCTTCAGCTCCCCTCTCGACTCTCTACCCCCTCCTCGCTCCCTCCCTCCCCTCACCATTTCCCCCCTCCTCGCCCCCTTCCCTCCCCTCACCATTTCTCCCCTCCTCGCTCCCTCCCTTCCCTCCCCTCACCCTGTCCATTTCCCCCAATGCTCGGGTCCCGACCCAACTGTCCAGCGCCTTGGGACGTCCTCCTGACGTGAAAGGCGCTCTATAAATGGAATCTTCTTGTTGTTGTACTGTCAATCCACTGCTGGAGACACAGGGAGTGAGTCGCACTCTGGAATTTTGTCTGGATTAACCAGATTTTTGTCCAAATTAACAGGCAGATTTAAAATAGGTAAGAATACAAATGAATCAGGGCCGGGCATTTTGTCTAGGAAATAGTTAGCACTCAAGTACTGAACTTTCTAACTACGATAATACACAGAAATATTTTGGGAGTTTTACAACATCAGGAGGGAGCAAGAATTATTTTGATAAATTTACAGAGAACTCCAGCTCCAAAATTAAAACTGTTTAAGAATTTGCCAAACTCTGGTTGCTCTGAAAGGCAAAAAATGAGAGGAAATCTAAACCTAGGTGGAATTCCTTCCCCCATTGGGTAGCTCTTCTCCCCTTCCCCTCTCCTCGAAAGCATTGTTGCAGATCAGAACTCACTGTGGTAAATGGCGGTGGGTTAACCCACATCTAAGAGTGTGGCACCAACATGACAGCCACAGCTCCTGTTTGTTGCTGACTGGCCTGTAATTTGATATTAATAACTTGACCGAGCTTCACATTTACAGCTAGGTTTAGAACGTCAGAAGACTGCCGAGAGGGAGCGGTTATTCCTCATCTACGCCAAGCAGTGGTGGAGAGAGTACCTTCAGATCAGACCCTCACACAACAACAGACTGGTGAAGATCTTTGCTCAGGTGTGTACACTTCTCTAGAAAGCTGTGTTGTGAAGTCCTGTAGTATAGTGGTTACAGTACTCACTTCGCAAGTGAGGATCTGGGTTGATTCCCGGGCAGGGCGAATCCTTACTCCGCACGCCTCTGTTTACCTAGCAGGACAACAACAAAATGACGTTTGTAAACCGCCTTTCATGTCAGGAGGACGTCGCAAAGACCTCGACAGTCAGTGTTTCGTACCCAAGCTGGGGGTCGGATTGGGGAAGGGGGATGGCGGGAAAGCAAGGTGAACAAAAACACGGTTGAAAAGGAGGGTCTTCGTGAGTCTTCAAGGAGGCAAGGGAGGGGGCGAGTAAGTAAGAACCCAGTTGTTAGTCAATTGGTGGTTCGCTTTATGGGGGGGTAATAATCTCTTCAATAAATAAATAATTTGGTCACTCAATTCAGGAATGTTCGCAATTGGCTGCTGCGTTTCGTCCACAAAATATACAGTCAATTCATTTTACACAAAGTTAGGGAGGGGGTAAAGAGTGAGAAGGATAGGAGCCAACTGCAGGAAGACATAGACAGATGGTACAATGGGCGACACACGGCAGATGAGTTTCAATGTAGAGAAATGTGAAGTAATGCATTTTGGTAGAAAGAATGAGGGGAAGCATTATAGGCGGTAATACAATCTAAGGGTGAAAGTACAGAGAGACCTGGAGGTGCAGGTAAATGAATCCTTGAAGATAGCAGGACAGGGAGATAAGGCTGTAAATAGGGCAAATGGGATTCTAGGCTTTATAAATAGGGGCATAGAGTACAAGAGTCAGGAGGTTATGATTAACCGATATAAAACGCTGGTTAGGCCTCAGTTAGAATACTGCCTCAGTTCTGGGCACCGCACTATAGGAAGGATGTTAAGGCATTGGAAAGGGTACAGAGGAGATTTACGAGGATGGTACCAGGAATGAGGGACCGTGATGATGAGGAAAGGCTGGAGAGGCCGGGATTATTCTCATTGGAGCTGAGAAGGTTACGAGGACCTGATAGAGGTCTTCAAAATCATGAGGGGATTTGATTGGTTAGAAATGGAAAAACTGTTCCCACTGGTGGGTGTGTCGGTGACTCGAGGTCACAGATTCAAAATAGTCTCTAAAAGAAGCCGAGGGGAGGGGAGAAGACATGTTTTCACGCAGTGAGTTGTTGGAATCTGGAAGGCATCGCCTGAAAGGGCGGTCGAGGCCGATTCAATAACTATTTTCAAAAACGCGGTGACGGGTATTTGAGGAGGACGGGTTTGCAGGTTATGGGGAAAGGGCCGGGAGTGGGATTGACATTAATTGCTCTATTCAAAGAGCCGCACAAACTCGATGGGCCGAATGGCCTCTTTTTGTGCTGTATGATTCTATGATATGAAGTGGAACAGGTTTCAGTAGGAGAGCATCTGGACAACAGTGATCACAACATATTCGGTATATAGTTCTTATGGAAAGGGACAGAAAGCAATTAAAGGTGCAGACACTCAACTGCAAGTGGGCTAATTTCAATGAGTTAAAAAGGGACCTAGCCAAGGTGGACTGGAAAGAAGGATTGGGAGGTAAAACATCTAATGAGCAATGGGAAACCTTCAAGGAGCAGATAGTTCATTAAAAAACAAATACATTTCTACAAAAGGGGAAAGGTAGGGCATCCAAACCTCCCGGATGAATAAGGAAATTGGGATTAAAATAAAACAGAAAAAGGTTTATGATAAATGTTAGGTCCAAAATACAGAAGATTATCAAATAGAATGTAGAAAGGAAAGAGGAGAGCTGAGAAAGGAAATAAGAGGGGCAAGGAGATTGTATGAGAAAAGATTAGTGGGTAACATAAAAGGGAACCCTAAGGTATTTTATAAACATATAAGGTTAATCAAATGTCGGGTGGGTCCAATTAGGGACCAAAGAGGAAATCTTCTTGTGGAGGCAGAGGGAATGGCTGATGTACTGAATGAGTACTTTGCATCTGTCTTCACAAAAGAAGAGAATGCAGCCAATGCCACAGTATTGGAGGAGAAGGGAGAGAAATTGGATAAGAATAAACCGAGAGGAGATACTAAAAAGCTGGTCAGTGCTCAAGGTGGATAAGTCACCCGGTCCAGACGGGATGCATCCTGGGTTACTGAGAGAAGTAAGGGTGGAAATAGCGGAGGCTCTGGTCACAATCTTTCAATCCTCCTTGGACACCGGGATGGTGCCAGAGGACGGAGGGTTGCAAATGTTACTCCCTGTACAAAAAGGGGTAGTAGGATAAACCTGGGAACTACAGGCCAGTCAGCCTAACGTCAGTAGTGGGGAAACTTCTAGAGACTATAATCCAGGACAAAATAAATTTTCACTTAGAAAAATATGGATTAATAAAGGACAACCAGCACGGGTTTGTTAAAGGTAAATCATGTCTAACAAACCTAATAGAGATTTTTGATGAAGTAACGGAGAGGGTGGATGAAGGGAGTGCAGTTGAAAGTAGGCATTTGATAAAATATCACATAAGAGACTTGTAAGTAAAATAGAAGTTCACGATATTAAAGGGACAGTGGCAGCGGATACAGAATTGACTGGGAGGCAGAAAGCAGAGAGTGGTGGTGAACGGTTGTTTTTCTGACTGGAAGGAAGTGTGCAGTGGTGTTCCCCAGGGATCAATATTGGGACCACTGTTGTTTTTGATCCACATAAATGACCTGGACTTGGGTACAGGAGTACAATTTCCAAGTTTGCAGATGACACTAAGCTATGGGGAGAGAGCGGGGGAGTGGGGTTGATCAGGGCTATGGGGAGAGTGAGGAATTGGATTGATCAGTGCTATGGGGAGAGAGCGGGGGAGTGGGGTTGATCAGGGCTATGAGGAGAGAGCAGGGGAGTGGGATTAAATTGGAAGAAGCCTATAAAACAGCTAAAATGAGTAGTAAACCCGAGGATTGGGAGAACTTTAGGGATCAACAAAGGAGAACCAAAAAAGTGATTAAGAGGGAGAAAATGGAAGACCAGACCGTAAGAGTTTTTATAAATATATAAAGAGGAAGAGGCTGTCAAAGGTAAATGTGGGTCCGCTACAGGCAGAGACGGGGGAATTATAGTAGGGGACAAAGACATGGCAGAGTCATTAAACAACTACTTTGCTACTGTCTTCACCTTAGAAGACACTGAAACCCTACCAAGAATAGAGGGGAACCAAGAAGACAATGTTAGCGAGCAGCTTGGAGGAATTAATATTAGTGAAGAAATGGTTTTAGGTAAATTGTCAGGTCTTAAAACTGATAAATCTGGATTATTTTCTGGAGGGGGAGAGATTAGATAGTGTTAGTGTTCAGAGGGATTTGGGTGTCCTTGTGCACCAGTCTCAAAAAGTTAGTTTGCAGGTGCAGAGAACAACTAAGAAGGCGAATGGCATGTTAGCGTTCATTGCAAAAGGTTTAGAGAACAAGTTTATAGAATGTATTAGAGATTATTAGAGATAATTTTCTAGATCAATATGCTGAGGAGCCGACCAGGGAACAAGCCATATTAGACCTTATTTTGTGTAATGAAACAGGGCTGATCAGCAAACTGGAACTTAAGGCTCCTCTCGGGCAAAGCGATCATAATATGATGGAATTTAGCGTTAAGTTAGAGAGGGAAGTAGTTAAGTCTGAAGCAAAAGTCTTCAATTTAAATCGAGCCAACTTTGCTGGTATGAGAGAGGATTTAGCCAGAATAAACTTAAAGATTTGACGGTAGACCAGCAATGGCAGACATTCAAGGAGATAGTGCAAAATTCCCAACGAGCACATATTCCTTTGAGGAATAAGAATGCCACGGGAAAGGTGGTGCAGCCATGGCTAACTAGAGCAGTTAGGGAAAGTATCAAATCAAAAGAAAAAGCCTATAAAACAGCGAAGATGAGTAGTAAACCCGAGGATTGGGAGAACTTTAGGGAACAACAGAGGAGGACCAAAAAATTGATCAAGAGGGAGAAAATAGATTACGAGGGCAAACTAGCAAAGAACATAAAAACAGACTCCAAGAGTTTTTACAAATATATAAAGAGGAAAAGGCTAGCGAGGGTGAATGTGGGTCCATTACAGGCAGAGACCGGAGGAATTATAATAGGGGACAAAGACATGGCAGAGTCATTAAACAAGTATTTTTCTACAGTCTTCACCGTAGAAGACACTGGAAACATACCAAAAATAGAGGACCAAGAAGACAATGTTAGCGAGCAACTTAGGGAGATTAACATTAGTAAAGAGATGGTTCTAGGTAAATTGTCGGGTCTTAAAACCGATAAATCCCCTGGACCGGATGGCCTGCATCCGAGAGTTTTAAAGGAGGTGGCTACTGAGATAGTGGATGGCATGTCTATAATCTTCCAAAAGTCTGTGGATACTGGAAAAGTTCCCATTGATTGGAAGATTGCAAACGTAACTCCACTATTTAAGAAGGGTGGGAGAGAAAATAGGGAAAACTATAGACCAGTTAGTTTGACGTCAGTTGTAGGGAAAATTCTTGAGTCCTTAATAAAAGACGTAGTTATGGGATACCTGGAAGACCATAAAAAGATTAGGCAGAGTCAACATGGCTTTACAAAAGGGAAGTCATGCTTGACTAACCTTTTAGAATTTTTTGAGGATGTATCTAGCAGGTTGGATAAGGGGGAACCAGTAGATGTGGTATATTTGGATTTTAGGAAGGCATTTGACAAGGTGCCACACAAAAGGCTGTTACTCAAGATCAAGGCCCACGGGATTAATGGGAAAATATTAACATGGATAGAAGAGTGGCTATCGGGTAGAAAGCAGAGAGTAGTGATAAACGGATCATTCTCGAATTGGCAGGAGATGTAACTAGTGGAGTGCCACAAGGATCAGTGCTTGGGCCTCAGCTATTTACCATTTACATCAATGATCTGGACGAGGACATTGAATGTAATGTGTCTAAATTCGCGGATGATACTAAACTCGGTAGCAGAGTGAGCTCTCAGGATGATGCAAAAAGATTGCAACGAGATATAGATAGGCTCGGGGAGTGGGCAAGTAGGTGGCAGATGGAATTCAATGTTAGCAAGTGTGAAATTATTCACCTTGGTAGCAAGAATAAAAGAACAGATTATTTTCTGGAAGGGGAGAAGTTAGATAGTGTTAGTATTCAAAGGGATTTGGGTGTCCTTGTACACCAGTCCCAAAAAGTTAGTTTGCAGGTGCAGCAGCAACTAAGAAGGCGAACGGCAGTTAGCGTTCATTGCAAAAGGTTTAGAATATAAGAGTAGGGAAGTCTTGCTGCAACTGTATAGGGCTTTGGTGAGACCGCACCGAGAGTATTGTGTGCAGTTTTGGTCTCCTTATTTAAAAAAGGACATACTTGCCCTCGAGGGGGTGCAGCGTAGATTCACTCGGTTAGTTCCTGGGATGAGGGGACTGACCTATGAGGATAGGCTGAATAAACTGGGGCTGTATTCTCTAGAGTACAGAAGAATTAGGGGAGATCTTATTGAAACATATAAGATTATTAAAGGGCTGATAAAGTAGACACTGAGGGACTGTTTCCCCGGTAGGAGAATCTATAACCAGGGGTCACAGTCTTAAAATTAAGGGTCAGCCTTTTAGAACAGAGTTGAGGAAACATTTCTTCACTCAGAGGGCAGTGACTTTATGGAATCCACTCCCCCAGAAGGCTGTAGATGTCAGTCAGTACTTGAACATCTTCAAGGCTGAGACTGAGAGATTTTTAAAAAACAGAGGGATTAGGGGATATGGGGATAGGGCAGGTAATTAGAGTTAGGTCTGAAGATCAGCCATGAACTTATCGAATGGCGGGGCACAGGCTCGAGGGGCTGAATGGCCTACTCCTGCTCCTAATTCTTATGTTCTTTTCAAAGAGCTGGCACACGCACAATGGGCCAAATGGCCTCCTTCTGTGCTGTATGATTCTATGAAAGTAGTCATTGATTATTTATTTCTTCTCTTCAAAAGTGGCTATAGTGTTGGTGCCTTGGAGTGTCTGTGAAATTGGGTTCAAGCGTTTGTCAGAAACCACACCGAGGATATTATTAAAATGTTTTATTTGCAATTATAAAGTCACACAAGCAGAAGCATCACATTACACCTGACCATGATCATTACTTGTCGCGCTTAAATGACAAATATAGCTCTATCCTAACAAGATACACTCAACGCTAAAATCCTAAACTGCGAGGAGATGCTGGATTTCCTTGAATCCAAAATCAAGGGAATCCGCTCCGCGGTCACTCCCCCTCCAACTTCCACCCACTCCCCACCCCTTCCCTCCCACACTCCGACTCCTACCCATCCTCCCCTACACACCTTCGTACCCGTTTCCCCACCCTCTGTCACCAAACTCATCCTGCCCCTGAAACCCACGTCCTGCTCCCTTGACCCCATCCCCACTCCACTCCTTATCTCTCAGCTCCACCTCCGGAACATCGCCAGACTACGGCACTACCTCACCCCTCACGCGGCTGAAACTCTGGTCCACGCCTTTATCACCTCAAGGCTGGACTATGGGAACTCTCTCCTCGCCGGCCTTCCCGGCCCTCCCTCCACACTGCAGGTCATTCAGAACTCTGCAGCTCGTGTCCTGTCCCGCACCAGGCTTCGCGACCACATCACTCCCACCCTCACACTCACCCTCGCCCTCGCTCGCCTCCACTGGCTCCCCATCCCCCAGAGGATCGAATTCAAGATCCTCATCCTCACCTACAAGGCCATTCACGGCCTCGCTCCCTCCTACCTCTCCGACCTACTATCCCCCCACGTACCACCCCGTACCCTCCGTTCGTCTGGCTCCGGTCTGCTCCACATTCCCCGCACCAACTGCTCTACCATCGGTGGCCTTCAGCCTCTCAGCCCCAAGGCTCTGGAACTCCAGAGCGTGAAAGGCGCTCTATAAATGAAATCTTGTTGTTGTTGTAAACATATGAAAAAAATTATGTGATATATGAAATGTGCCTAAATAATCTCTAGCTGTTTTGTATGTATATTGGGTACGTGTCTTAGGAGTAGGAGAGATACTATCAACAGGCAGGAAATTGTGAAAGTTAAACACGGTCTCTGGCTTGCTGCTGGCTGCAAACGTCTCTTGGTGGTCCACTCTGGCAAGGGCTGAACTCGTCCTCTTTGTGGTCCACTCTGGCGAGAGCTGGACTTGTCCTCTTTCCCTCAAAGGCATTCTTCTTCCTCTCCATAGAGATTCGACTCCTTCCTCTCCTCAGAGGCTCCAAAAAACAATTAGCTTTGGCTATTGATTTTTACACCCTTTTTCACTGGACATCTGTGTCCTAACTTTTTTTCATGACTTCTTTCCTGCTCTCTGCACTTTTCCTAGGCATTCTTTCCCTCTCTTCAATTTGTTTCTCCTTGTACCAACTAGGATACCTTCTGCAGAAGATGGTACTCCTATTCCATCTTATCCAGCCCGACCAGACAACCTGACTCCATGTCCCTGAAGTTTCAGTCCTTCGTTCTAACTCCGTCTATGTGACCTGCTGACTTCATCCATGGCCTTGCCCCCTCCTACCTCTCTGACCTGCTGACTCCCTACCAACCCATCCGCTCCCTCGTTCAATGGGCTCCGGCCTACTCCATGTCTCCCGCCCGACCCGCTCTACCATCGGTGGCCGGGCTTTCAGCTTCTCTGCCCCCACACTCTGGAACTCATCCCACGGTACCTTCGCCTCACTTCCTCCCTCGCCTCCTTCAAGGCCGGTCTCAAGACCCTTCTCTTCGACCGTGCCTTTGGTCTCCCCTCCCACCTCTCTGCCTTCTCTCACCCCTACACCACCCCTCCCCCATGCTCAGCCCCCGACACCTGACTGTTCAGCGCTTTGGGATGTTCTCCCGATGTGAAAGGCGCTCTATACGTGTCATTTTGTTGTTGTTGTTGTAGTAAGCTTTTTCTCAGTTTTAATTACTAGTTTGTATCCCATCCATTTTCCAGGTCCAGTTATCCTTATCTTTCCTGGCCATGGGTCCCATTCCAGTGACCTCCTGCTAGCTCGGTGCCTCTTTACTAGGACTGTGTGTGTGTGTGTCACATGGCAGTTTTTATTTCTTTAATTCATTCTACTTAATTCATCTATTCACTAAATGATCAATATTAATGATTCTTATACTATAATCCCAACTATTTACATGTCTTCCGTAGCCAAGTTAATCCAGTCCTTACACTGCAATACATTTACACAGTGCCTCGTGTCGGGAGGCCCTCACAAGGTGCTGGACATGATTTGGCACCCGACTGGGGATGGGAGGCCGGGCCTCACAGTCCGAGACATGGGGGAGGGCAGAGTCGGAAGGACTCCGGGATGCAGTTCCTGGGTGGGGGGAAGACAGGCTGAAAGCCCAATGGCCGATGGTGGGGTGACTAATAATAATAAGTAAGTAAGAGTAAAAGGGGGATGTGAAGCAGGCCAGTGAAGGGAGCAGCCGGGAAGTGTAGGGCTTGAGAAGGTTGCAGAGGGACGGTGGGGCAAGACACAGAGGGATTTGAAGCTGAGGATCCACTGGAGGATGGGGAGCCAATAGAGCCGGACGAGGATGGGGTGATAGACTTGCAAGACGTGGGCTGCAGGCTTCTGGATAGTCTGCAGATTGTGGGGGGAACACCTGAGAAGTCTGGCGAGCAGTGATTTGGTGAAGTTAATTTCAAGATCCTCACACTACTCTACAACTCCCTTCATGCCCTGATACCTTCCTATCTCTCCGACCTGCTTACCCCCAACCCCTCTACCTGCTGTCTCCACTCGACTGGCTCTGGCATCCTGCTTGTCCCGCGTCCCTCTGTTCCACAGCAGCTGCGCTTTTAGCCACTATTCCCAGAAACTCTGAAACAACCTGTGGAGTCCTGTAGCTCAGTGGTTAGAGCACTCGCTTTGCAAGCGAGAGACCTGAGTTCAATTCCAGGCAGAGGGCCAAACCTTGGGCAAGTTTCCTTACTCCACACAGAGCCTAATAATAATCCCTCCAAAACCATAAACAATAATAAATTGGTGATTTTCAATCTACGACTGTTTGTGGGACATTGCTGTGCGCAATTGGCTGCCGCGTTCGCCCACAAATATACAGTCAATTCACTTTACAGTATGTTCTGTGAAGCGCTTTGGGACGTCCTCCCGACGTGAAAAGCGCTATATCAAATGCGAGGATTATTATTATTATAACCTCCCTCAATCCCTCTGCCTTGCCTCCTCCTTCACCATCTTCAGGTTGTACCTGAAGTCCTTCCTCTTCAACCATGTCTATGGTCACCTCCCCTCGGCTCTGCCTGAGGGGCGCTTTATAAATGCGTCGTTGTTGTAGCTGATGTAATAAATACATGGATTAAGTCGTTGGTGCTTTTTGGGACGTCCTCCCGACGTGAAAGGCACTCTATAAATGTAATTTTGTTGGTGGTGGTGGTAGCTCTTTTACTTTTGCTGATTTGAGAGCCTGTAAAATCTTCATTCTTTGAATCTGAATTAAGTGTCCATTGAAATCTAATTAGGATCATAGGAACAGGATTAGGCCATTCAGCCCCTCAAGCCTGTTCCTCCATTCTCTAAGATCATGGCTGATCTGTCTCTCAACTCCATTTATCCACCGTTGCCCCATCTCCCTTAATACCCTGACTGTAGCAAATATTTATCTACCTCCATCTTGAAAATATCAGTGGATCCAGCCATAATCCACAGCCTTTTGGGGGAGGGAGTTCCAGATTCCCACTATCCTTGGGTGAAAAACTGCCCCTTGATTTCACTCCAAAATGGCCGGACTCTAATTTTAAGATGATGCCCCTGGTTCTGGATTCCCCACCAGAGGAAATAGTGTCTCTGTAGCTGCCCTATCAAATCCTTTATCATTTTAAACCTCTCAAATCAGATCACCCTTCAACCTTCTAAACTCAAGGGAATACAGACCAAGTTGATGCCACCTCACAATGTAACCCTTTAAGCTCTGATTGTGTGTTTTGCCCAGGATGAGAATGGCACTAACCGGCCGGTGTGCTCGTATTTAAGGCCGCTACGAGCTGGGAGGCTGCTGGACACCCCGAGGCAAGCCGCCCGGTTTGTCAATGTTCTGGGTTACGAAAGGGCCCCGGTGGTTGGAGGTGGTGGCAAGCAGGAGCAATGGTGCACGCTCCTACCCTTTCTCTGTCGAGGCAAGGTATATGTTCTGTAGTTTCTTGTTGAATTTGATTCTCTTCCTCCAACCCTCCGCCTTGGCCCCTCCTTTCCTATCTTCAGGTCGCATCTGAAGACCTTCCTATTCGACTGTGCCTAACAGTCATCTACCCCCGGCTTAGTGTTTAGTGTCGTGCTCCACCACCAAGCACTCTAGGACGTTACCTTGCATGAGAGGCGCTATATAAACGCAACTTATGCTTTTCCAGAAATCTGAATCCTAGTTCGGATTTTCTATCTCCCCCCCCCCCCCCGCGTTCCTGTGTAGTCCTCGGGAGGAGACTTTAAACCGAGGTCCCGTCTGCCTGTTCAGGTGGATGGTAAAGATCCCGCGGGGCTATTGGAAAAGAGAAGGGAGTTTCTCTCTCCCAGTGTCCTGGACAACAATCCCCCAAATAATATTGCTCACACGCCCCATGGCTGTTTATGGGGACACTGCTGTGCTCAATTGGCTATCCCGTTCACCCACAAAATATACAGTCACTACGACACTCTCCATGATATTCTATGAAGCCTGTTGAGATGTCTTGATAAGGCACGACATCAAATGCTATGATTATTATTTCTTATGATGCACTAGAATTTTGTAAATATTTTTATATGTGCACATACGTGGGCAGGGCGAAACCTTAGGCAAGTTTCCTTACTCCACACACCTCTGTTTACCTAGGTAAGAATTCGGTTGTTGGTCAATTGGCTGATTGCATTCCAGGGGTAATAATCCCGCAAAAAAAAATGTGGTCCCCTAATCCACGACTCTGTGTGGGACAGTACTGTGCGTAATTAGCTGCCGGCTTTCACCCACAAAATACAGTGAATTCACTTTACAGTATGTTCTGTGAAACTCTGAGACTCTCAACAACATAAGGCACTGTATCAGATGCAAGGATTATTATTATTTCTCTATTATAATGTAACTGTGGCTGTTGATGTGCAGGGAGATTGTGAGGATCATGCCACACTGCTATGCAGCTTACTGCTGGGCTACGGACTCGGTGCCTATGTGTGCGTTGGAACAAAAGCCAAGGGAGTCCCCCACACCTGGGTATTGACATGTGGAACCAATGGAGCAATCACCTTCTGGGAGAGTTTGACTGGGCACAGGTGAGGTCAGAGCACTCACCCACAAAATCATAGAATTATTCAACAACAACAACAACAAGATTCCATTTATAAAGCGCCTTTCACGTCAGGAGGACGTCCCAAGGCGCTGCACAGTTGGGTCATGACCCGAGCAGGGGGGAAATGGTCAGGGTGAGGGGAGGGAAGGGAGGGAGCGAGGAGGGGGGAAATGGTCAGGGTGAGGGGAGGGAAGGGAGGGAGCGAGGAGGGGGAAGAGAGTCGAGAGGGGAGCTGAAGGCACGGTGAAAGAGAAAGGTTTTGAGACCGACCTTGAAGGAGGAAAGGGAGGAAGCGGCGAAGGCACTGGGGGATGGAGTTCCAGAGCCTCGGGGCTGAGAGGCTGAAGGCCCGACCACCGATGGTAGGGCGGTTGGGGCGGGGGACGTGGAGCAGACCGGAGCCAGAGGAACGGAGGGTACGGGCAGGTAGGTAGGGGGATAGTAGGTCGGAGAGGTAGGAGGGAGCGAGGCCGTGAATGGCCTTGTAGGTGAGGATGAGGATATTCAGTATAGGAGTCGGCCATTCTACCCATCGTGTCTGTGCCGGTTCTTTAAAAAGAGCTTCCAAATGAACCCCAATCCCCCGCTCTCTCCCCATTGCCCCGATCAACCCCACTCCCCCGCTCTCTCCCCATAGCCCTGATCAACCCCACGCTCTCCCCATAGCCCTGATCAACCCCACTCCCCCGCTCCCCCATAGCCCTGATCAACCCCACGCTCTCCCCATAGCCCTGATCAACCCCACTCCCCCGCGCTCTCCCCATAGCCCTGATCAACCCCACTCCCCCGCGCTCTCCCCAGAGCCCTGATCAACCCCACTCCCCCGCTCTCTCCTCACAGTCCTGCAAACTTGTCCTCCCCAAATAATTATCTGCTTCTCTTAAAAGTTGTTATGGAATCGGCTTTCACCATCCTTTCAGGCAATGCATTCCAGATACCAACAGCTCTCTGTGTGAACACATTTCTCCTCCCCTCCCCTCTGTTTCTTATAACAACTACTATAAATGGGTGTCCTCGGGTTACCAACCCACCGCCAGTGGGAATAGTTTCTCCTCGTTCACCCTATCGAACGAATCCCCTCATCATTTTGAAAACTTCTATTATGTCTCCTCTTAACCTTCTCTGCTCCGAGGAGAATAATCCGAGCTTCTCTACCTCTCCTGATAACTGAGGTCCCTCATTCCTGGTACCATTCTGGTCAATCTCCTTTGTACCCTCTCCAATGCCTTGACATCCTTCCTAAAGTGTGGGGCCCAGAACTGAACCCAGTCTCTCGCTGAGGCCTCACCAGTGTTTTATATAAAGGTTCATCATAACTTCCTGACTTGTGTACTCTATGCCCTATTTATAAATTGGAGTCCTGTAGCTCAGTGGTTAGAGCACTCGCTTTGCAAGTGAGAGACCTGAGTTCAATTCCAGGCAGAGGGCCAAACCTTGGGCAAGTTTCCTTACTCCACACAGAGCCTAATAATAATCCTCCAAAACAAAAAACAATAATTAAATTGGTCATTTTCAATCTACGACTGTTTGTGGGACATTGCTGTGCGCAATTGGCTGCCGCGTTCGCCCACAAATATACAGTCAATTCACTTTACAGTGTGTTCTGTGAAGCGCTTTGGGACGTCCTCCCGACGTGAAAAGCGCTATATCAAATGCAAGGATTATTATTATTATTATTATAAAGCCGAGTATCCCGGATGCTCTTTAACAGCTGTATCTGCCTGTCCGGCCACCTTCAGAGATTTACTATATGACCCCCAGGTCTCTCTGTCCCTTCACCCCCATTAAGATTGTCTGTTTGCAGTCTGCTACTATCCTGCTCACTGTTTACTACTGTTTCCAGCTTAGTATCATCTGCAAACTTGGAAATTGTACTCCTACACCCAAGTCCAGGTCATTTATGTGGATCAAAAACAGCAGTGGTCCCAATATTGATCCCTGGGGAACACCACTGCACACTTCCTTCCAGTCAGAAAAACAACCGTTCACCACCACTCTCTGCTTTCTGCCTCCCAATCAATTCTGTATCCGCTGCCACTGTCCTTTTAATATCGTGAACTTCTATTTTACTTACAAGTCTCTTATGTGATATTTTATCAAATGCCTACTTTCAACTGCACTCCCTTCATCCACCTTCTCCGTTACTTCATCAAAAATCTTTATTAGGTTTGTTAGACATGATTTACCTTTAACAAACCCGTGCTGGTTGTCCTTTATTAATCCATATTTTTCTAAGTTATTTTGTCCGGGATTAAAATCTCTAGAAGTTTCCCCACTACTGATGTTAGGCTGAATGACCTGGAGTTCCCGGGTTTATTCTTCTGTCCCTTTTTGTACAGTGAAGTAATATTTGCAACCCTCCAGGCCTCTGGCACCACCCCGGTGTCCAAGGAGGATTGAAAGATTATGGCCAGAGCCTCCGTTATTTCCACCCTTACTTCCCTCAGTAACTTAGGATGCATCCCGTCCAGACCGGGTGACTTACCTACCTTGAACACTGACAGCCTTTTTAGTCCCTCCTCTCGGTTTATTCTCATCTTATCCAATTTCTCTACTCTCTCCTCCGATACTGTGGCATTGGCTGCATCCTCTCCTTTTGTGAAAACTGATGCAAAGTACTCATTCAGTACGTCAGCCGTTCCCTCTGCCTCCACAAGAAGATTTCCTCTTTGATCCCAAATTGGACCACCCGACCTTTGACTAAACTTTTATTCTTTATATGCTGATAAAATACCTTAGGGTATTTCCTTTCTCAGCTCTCCTCTTTCCTTTCTATATTCTATTTGATTATCTTCTGTGTTTTGGACCTGACATTTATCATAAACCTTTTCCTGTTTTATTTTAATCCCAATTTCCTTATTCATCCGGGAGGTTTATAACAACATAAGAATTAGGAGCAGGAGTAGGCCATTCGGCCCCTCGAGCCTGTGCCCCGCCATTAGATAAGATCATGGCTGATCTTCAGACCTAACTCTAATTGCCTGCCCTATCCCCATATCCCCTAATCCTTCTATTTTTTAAAAATCAATCAGTCTCAGCCTTGAAGATGTTCAAGGACTGACATCTAAGCTGGAGCTTCCTCAGTGGCAGACATTTGCTGCAGATGAAGTCACCTGGGCTCAGGTTGCCCTCCATCAACTCCCATATACTACATTGCTCACACATCACCTGCCAGGCCGTTCTCTCCTCTCACTCTATTTATCCCTGTATTATTGTCGTTTAGAAGGTATACTTCCCCCTCTGCACCTAATTCCCACTCTCACCCAATTCCTTCTCACTCTGGCCTCGCCTCACTCCGGACGTAGCTCACTCTGGGCTCTCTGCTCGAGTTTGGATGCCCTACCTTTCCCCTTTGGGAATATATTTGTTTTTTAATGAACTATCTGCTCCTTGAAGGTTTCCCATTGCTTGTCAGCTGTTTGACCTGCCAATCTCTCTTTCCAGTCCACCTTGGCCAGGTCCCTTTTTAACTCATTGAAATTAGACCCTCTTCCAGTTGAATATCTTCACCTTTAATTGTTCCTTGTCCTTTTCCATAAGAACTTTATACCTAATGATGTTGTGATCACTGTTGTCCAGACGCTCTCCTGAAACCTGCTCTTCTTGCCCCACCTCATTCCCCAGAATTAGATCCAGCTTTGCTTCCTTCTTCGTTGGACTGGATACTGATCCAGTAAGTTATCCTGCACACATTTCAGCAATCCTTCCCCCTCCTTCCCCTTTATATTGTTATTTTGCCAGTTGTAATTGAAGTCCCCCATTATCACTACTCTATTGGTTTTGCATTTTTCTGAAATCGCTTTCAGATTTGCTCATCTATTTCCTTCCCACTATTTGGTGATCTATAGTACACACCTAACAGAGTAACAGCTCCTTTCCTGCTCCTTAGCCCTAACCAAATAGATTCTGTTTTTGGACTCTTGAGCACATCGTCCATTTTCAGGTCCGTAACCGTGTCTGTAATCAATATTCCCAGCCCTCCCTTTGTGTTCCTTCCCAATCCCTCCTGAATACATTGTAGCCAGGAATATTCAGCTCCCATTCCTACCAGGTCTCCATTATTGCCACTACATCATAACTCGATGTGGCAACTTGAGCCGCAGCTCACCAATCTTATTTGTCACACTCCGTGCATTTATGCATATGCACTCCAAGAGCAACTTAGTCTGTTCTGCATTTCTCCCCCATATAATCCCTCCTTTTTCTGGATTACTCCTGATTACATTGCTATTTGTATCTCCCAGCCCTCTATGTAACTTGTTTTCCTCTCCAATGCTACATCCTGATTCCCTTCCCCCCTCAAAATGTATTTAAAACCCTGTTGTACTTAGGCTTAGACTAATTTAGTGATATGGAGAGACCAGAGAAGCTGGGATTGTTCTCCTAACTTCAGAGAAGGTGAAGGGGAGATTTAATAGAGGTGTTCACAATTATGAAGGGATTTGATCGCGTGAACAGAAAGTAGTGTTTCTACTGGCTCAGTAAACAGGGCACATGGAGTTAAGATAATTGGCAAAAGAACCAGAAGGGAGATGAGGAGAAATTATTTTTACCCAGAGAGTTATTATAGTCTGGAATGCACTGCCTGGAAGGGGTGGAAACAGATTTGATTATAACTTTCAAATGAGAATTGGATATTTACTTGAAAAGAAAAAAATTGCAGGGTTTTGAGAGACAAGCGGGGGAGTGGTAGCTCTTTCAAAGAGCCAGTACAGGCACGATGGGCTGAATGGCCTCCTGTGCTGTATGATTCTATGACTATTTGGTGTCACATATACAACAACGACAAAATTACATGTATAGAGTGCCTTTCACGTCAGGAGGACATCCCAAAGCGCTGAACAGTCAGGTGTCGGGGCCCAAGCATGGGGTTGGGGTGGTGTAGGGGTGAGGGAAGGCAGAGAGGTAGGAGGGAGACCAAAGGCACGGTTGAAGAGAAGGGTCTTGAGCCCGGCCTTGAAGGAGGCGAGGGAGGAAGCGAGGCCAAGGGACCGTGGGATGGAGTTCCAGAGTGTGGGGGCAGAAAGGCTGAAAGCCCGGCCACCGATGGTAGGGCGGGTCGGGCGGGAGTCATGGAGTAGGCCGGAGCCCGATGAACAGAGGGAGTGGGCAGGTTGGTAGGCAGTCAGCAGGTCAGAGAGGGAGGAGACAGACAAGGCCATGGATGGCCTTAAAGATGAAACCGAGGATCTTGAACTCGATCCTCTGGGGGATGGGGAGCCAGTGGAGTCGGGTGGGAGTGATGGGGTCACGGAGCCTGGTGCGTGAGAGTACACGAGCTGCAGAGTTTTGGATGATCTGCAGCTTGTGAAGAACATCAACAGCTTGTGAACAATATACAACAGAACATCATAAACAGGGCTGAGGTGAAGTGCAACACCAAAAAACATTGGTTGAGTTCATGCTCACAAGTTGATTGGGAACACAATTCACTCTCACAGAAAGACTAACAATTTGGCTTTGCCTGATGATCTGTCATCTGCATGGATCCATATCCAATATTTATCCACAATTGATGTCAATAACTGGCTGTCTTTGTGTCTAAAACTGTTTCCTTACTCCGCACTCGATTGACAAATCGTTTTCTAGGGGTAATAACCCCACCAAAATCAAAACAAAACATTCGCTCAATCCACCACTGTTTATAGGACACTGCTATGCATAATTGGCCCCACGTTTCACCCACAAAATACACAGTCACTACATTTTACAGTGTATCCTGCAAAGCTCTTTTGAGATGTCTCGATCATGTGATAAGGCGCTATATCAAATGCAAGGATTATTATTATTTTAGGATGAATTATAAATGCTCTTATTAAGGTGGACCTTTGTGTACATTTATTCCCACCCTAATGTTTTCTAGGTACGTCCACGTTCCCATTAATCCAAACGCCCCCCCGATGGTAGAGCAGCCGAGGCCAGCCTATCCCTACAGCACAATCGGCTGCCTCTTCAACCACCAGAGCTTCTATGCAAATTGTCAGCCCTCGGATGTCGTGGAGCTGTGTGTGTTCGACCTCCACGATGAATCCAAGTGGAAGCCCATGAGCGTCGAGGCCATAAAATCAGTGTGTTCGCCTGGGTCGTCCACCTCCCTGCCCCCATTCCCCCCTCTGTGTGCCCCGGGGCTGGATGCGGCCACAGCCAGCAACGACATTGAGCTGGTGCTGAGAGGCCTGGTCTGTGAGCACAGGAAGGTAAGCTCCCCCGCGCCCCCCACCCACCCGCACCTTGTTTAACCCGGTTCCCCATCCCCCACGGCCCCCCGCTCGGGTAGCCCAGCTCTCCGCCCCCTGTGTAGCCCAGTTCTCCATTGGCAGTCGGGCCTCTCTGCCTCCACCTTATAGAACTCCATCCCACAGTCTCTCCCCCTCGCCCCCTCCCTCGCCTCCTTCAAGGCCCATCTGAAGACCCTCCTCTTCGATCACGCGTTCAGTCACCCTCCCTGCCCTCCACCCCTCCTGATCCCAAACCCCAGCCCTGACTGTCCAGCGCCTCAGGATGACTCCCTGACGTGTGCGGCAGGCACCGTGTCCTATCCCAGAGAGGATCGACTTCAAGATCCTCACCCTCGTATTCAAGTCCCTGCATCCCTCGACCTCTCTGACCTCTCTCTTCACAACAGTACCCGTTGCCTTCGTTCCTCCGGGTCTGGCCTCCTCCGAGGCCTCCGCTCCACCCTCAGCAGCCGTACCTTCAGCCACTACCCCCGAGGCTCTGGAACTCCCTTCCTCACTCCCATCGTCTTGCTCCCTCTCTTCCCATTTTCAGGTCTCTACTGAAGACCTTTCTCTTCGACCGCGCCTTTAGTCACCTTCCTCCCCCTCCCCCTGGCTCCTCCCCCTCCCCCTGGCTCCTCCCCCTCCCCCTGGCTCCTCCCCCTCCCCCTGGCTCCTCCCCCTCCCCCTGGCTCCTCCCCCTCCCCCCGGTCCCGGGATCCGTTACTGTAAACCTCTGAGACCCCGTCCGGCGTGGAGGGCGTTATATAAATCCAAGTTGTTGTTGTGTAAATGCCATTTGTTGTCATTGCCAAATGACTGGGTGCCGTCTGTCACAAGCCAGTGTGATCGTACAACAACAACAACAACATGCGACATGTCCTTCCACCTGCCCCGTGTCTGAGCTGCTGATTGTTTGCACGTCAGGACCTGTCTCTGAACACAACGTGGGACGACCATCTGTCTTATCTGCTGTCTCCGGCTCTCGCTGCGTATGAGACTGAGCGCTCGGCTGGAGTGTCTGCTGGTAATGAGGAGTTTCAGGACTCGATCAAGCGAGCTGTGCCCGATGGCCACACATTCAAGGGCTTCCCCATCCACTTCATCCATCGCAACGCCAGGAGAGCATTCGCAACGTGTTTAAGGTCAGTTTCCCAAAATCTTTTATTCTTTACTCTGTCCTGCAGCTGAGACGTTAAACCGAGGTTCGGGCTGCCTGTTCAGGTGGCTGTTAAAGATCCCGTTACACAGTGAAGGGAGTTTCTCCGGGTGTCCTGCTCTTCCTTCCCCATTGGTTATTCACATCGTGGCTGTTGGTAAAGCATTGGTGTGCGTTCACCTGCAAAATACACAGTCACAAAACTTTACAGTAAGATTCTATCAAGTGCTTTGAGACGTCCTCCCGACGTGAAAGGCGGTGTATTAAATGCATGGATTTCTTGTAGACGGAGGAGTCCTTCCTCCCCCACATTCAGTCCCTGATCAGGACGCCTTCCTCCACATCGCCACATTTCCCACCTCCGACCGTACCTTATCCCAATTGCATCCGAAACCCTCGTGCGTGCATTGTTACCTCCCCCTGGATTACTCCAACCCCCTCCTCGCCATCTCCTCAGCTCCACTGTTCACAAGATCAGCTCATTCAGACTCTGCCGCTCACATACTGACCTGAACCAAACTCCATCCCCACATCTCATCCGCTCTGGCCCAGGCTCCACTGGCTCCCCATCACCCAACACATCCACTTCAAGATGCTCTCACTCTCGTGTTCAAATCCCTTCACTCCCTGGCACCTCCCCACCTCTCCGACCCCTCACTCCCCACCTCTCCGACCCCCTCGCTCCCCACCTCTCCGACCCCCTCACTCCCACCTCTCCGACCCCCTCAGTGCCCACCTCTCCGACCCCCTCCCTCCTCACCTCTCCGACCCCCTCACTCCCCCACCTCCTCCCAACTCTCCGACCCCCTCCCTCCCCAACTCTCCGAGCCCCTCGCTCCCCACCTCTCCGAGCCCCTCGCTCCCCACCTCTCCGAGCCCCTCGCTCCCCACCTCTCCGAGCCCCTCGCTCCCCACCTCTCCGAGCCCCTCGCTCCCCACCTCTCCGAGCCCCTCGCTCCCCACCTCTCCGACCCCTCGCTCCCCACCTCTCCGAGCCCCTCGCTCCCCACCTCTCCGAGCCCCTCGCTCCCCACCTCTCCGAGCCCCTCGCTCCCCACCTCTCCGAGCCCCTCGCTCCCCACCGTCTCCTGCTTATCCCTCGCATCCTCTGCCCCACCATTGGAGGTTGTGCTTTCAGCCACTACACCCCAAAACTCCGGCACATTCTCCTTCAATCCCTCCGCTTTGCCCCCCCTTCTCTTTTTCAAATTCCCACCTAAGACCTTCCTATTCATCCGTGCTTACAATCACCCCTCGCACCCCACGCCCCCCGGCTCGGTGTCAGACTGAGACGTTGCCCTGTGGGAGGGTGCTATATAAGTGCACAATGTTGCAAATTGAAATTCTTTTAACTAAGAGCGAAACAGGCAGCCAATTGACTGATAAACCCCTCCAGATGTTGCACTGTTTTGGGCAATCATTATCTGACCCCACCATTCACCCACAAAACGCACAGTCGCTCAGGATAGCGATCTGCAGATCGACTAATAACTGGGTTCCTACTTACTGCTAGGTAAACAGAGTTAAGTGGAGTAAGGAAACTTGCCTAAGGTTTCGCCCGGAATCGAACCCGGGTCTCTCACTTGTGAGGCAAGTGCTCTAACCACTGAGCTACAGGGTTCCAGTGCTAGCACGACGTTTTGACATGATAAAGTGCAATCAAAATAGTTTCCTCTGTTTTCCGTTCTGCTCTTCAGGTCTCCGTTTTGCGAAGAAATAATTTGCTGCCGTGGGGACCAGGTGCGCCTGGCTGTGCGAGTTAGGGTCTTCGCCTACCCTGAGTCCGCCTGTGCTGTCTGGATCATGTTTGCATGTAAATATCGTTCAGTGCTGTGACCTCTCTGAACACTGTGAACACTGGCATCTCGAAAGCAGAGGTGCTCCAGCCTCCAGTGAGTGACTGACTGACTGGTTCAGGGGTTGTGTGGTTTGGCAGTGACTTTTCAGGTCAGGGTTTCACACACCAGCAAAGGCTCCCAATTACCCACAGACGCTAGTCATTATACATTTGTGTGAATTACTTGTTTATTACTAACTTATTATATAATGACTTGTGCAGATTGTAAAAAATGACTTTTTAAAAAAAACACAAATTATTTTATTACGCAATAAAGCTGTCTGTTTTCTATTTACAGATCACTGGATTCCTGCTCTTGATTTCTTGATCACTATCCAGACATTCCCCCCCTCCCCATCCCCCTCCCCTGGGAGCTCTGCTGTTATGGCTCACGCAATAATAATGGCCCCTTGCCATGAGACAATCAACCTGAACTTTCAGCGTTAATAATAATAATCCTGGCATTTGATACCGCACCTTGTCACATCTTCGGGAAATCTCAAAGCACTTCACAGAATATATTGAAAAGTGAATTAATTGTATATTTGTGGGCGAGACACAGCAGCCAATTGCGCACACAGTGTCCCACAAACAGTCGTGGGTTGAATGACCAAGTTATTATTATTAGGTTTTTAAACCACAACTAACTCAGAATTTTTTGCAAAGTGTTTAAACTTTATGACAATGGTATTAAGGAGTAAGAATAGTTTGAAATTATTCATGGACCAATAATTTGCTACAAGCTCAAACAGTCAGTAGATTTGTCAGTAATTACCTGTGAAATAGTTTGAGATGTTTTGACATTTCCAGAGCTTTTGTCAGAGGCAAGGATTATGAAGGACATAAGGCCTGTACGTCAGCCTAGCTCAGTCCGCTCTCCGTAGCTCTCTGAGTCTGAGTGTTGTGGGTTCAAGCCCCACCTCAGGACTTTGACCTCATATAGACTTGGCTGACATCCCCAATGCTGGGGACTGCTGCATTATCAGACGTGCCATTTTTCAGGTGAGATGTTAAACCGAGGTCCCGTCTGCCTGTTCAGATGCATGTTGAAGATCCCGCGGGGCTATTGGAAAAATGCTCGAAATGGCCAACAATTCCCCAGTAAAACTAGTTGCTTATTTCATGGCTGTTTGTGCACAAATTGATTGCCACGCTTCCCTACAAACCCACAGACACTTCACTGCAATGTGTCTTGTGAAGTGCTTTGAGACGTCCTCCCGATGTAAGGCATTATCAAATGTAAGGATTATTTATAATAATCATGATCCTTGCATTTGATATAGTGCTTTATCACATTGTTAAGACATTTCGAAGAGCTTCACAGAATATAAAGTGGATTGATTATATTTTGTGGGTGAAATGTGGCAGCCAATTGTGCACAGCAGTGTCCCACAAACAGTCGTGGATTATTTTATTTCAACTAATTTTGAGCAAAACACAGTAGAGACTTATATTTCTGGAGAGGATGTGTGGACTTGCTGATTCGGTTACAAGCATCTGCTGCAAACCTCAGACTTCTCCATCATTGTTCACTTCCCTCAGATTAATAATTCTGCTTAGAATAGTATTTGAAATATTGACATAAAATTCATTTGGATGTCTTTCTTGTCTGACGTTGAGGCCGGAGATGATATTGGCATGTCCAAAGCTGCACAGAAAATTCAGCTGTGTGTGTGTGTGTGGACGATGTCTTGCACTCGAGAGTTGCTGTTATCCACACATTTTATTTAATGACATTCTCAAATGCAAATTATTCATGGCACAGTCTGATATCAGTAGTTATGGTATTCAAGTATGCATTAAACATGAAAGGAAATTTATCTAAATCAGAGCGGCTTAAAGTGTTAGAATATTCTATGGAGTAATAATGCGGAGTCTCTAGTATACAATACAATACAAAATTACATTTGTAAAGCGACGTCCACGTCAGGAGGACGTCCCAAGGCGCTGAACAGTCGATTAGCATTCGAGTGGGGTGGGGGGTTGGGATCAGGGAGGGGGGACCGAAGGCACGGTCAAAGAAGAGGGCAAGGGAGGGGGCAAGGCGAAGGGAATGTGGGATGGAGTTCCAGGGGGTGGGGGCAGAGAGGCTGAAGGCCCAATCGTCGATGGTAACCCGGGTCGGGCGGGGGGGATGTGGAGCAGGCGGAGCGTGAGTGTAGTGTTTGGAGTGCTCACTCGAAAGCAAGAGGACCCGGATTCAATCCCGTTAGCCAAGTTTCCTTACTCCACAAGTCTCTGTTTACCAGCAGTAAGTGGGTACCTGGTTGTTTGTCGATTGATTGGAAAATCACTTATTTGTGGATAATAATCTCTTAAAAAAAATTCTGGTCACTCAATCCACGTCTGTTTGTGGGGACGCTGCTGTGTACAATTGGCTGCTGCGTTTCACCCACAAAATATAGTCAATTCACTTTACAGTATATTTTGTGAAGTGCTTTGAGACATCTCAGACGTGATAAGGCGCTATATCAAATGTAGGGATTATTATTATTATTTACTTGGAGAAACAAAATAAACCTCAATGTCAATCTTGTGTTATTATCGCCTCAAAACTATCAACCACAACAACAACAACAACAAGATTCCATTTATAAAGCGCCTTTCACGTCAGGAGGACGTCCCAAGGCGCTGCACAGTTGGGTCAGGACCCGAGGAGGGGGGAAATGGTCAGGGTGAGGGGAGGGAGGGAGGGAGCGAGGAGGGGGGAAATGGTCAGGGTGAGGGGAGGGAAGGGAGGGAGCGAGGAGGGGGGAAATGGTCAGGGTGAGGGGAGGGAAGGGAGGGAGCGAGGAGGGGGGAAATGGTCAGGGTAAGGGGAGGGAAGGGAGGGAGCGAGGAGGGGGAAGAGAGTCGAGAGCGGAGCTGAAGGCTGAAGGTCAAAGAGAAAGGTTTTGAGACCGGCCTTGAAGGAGGAAAGGGAGGAAGCGGCGAAGGCACTGGGGAAAGAGTTCCAGAGCCTCGGGGCTGAGAGGCTGAAGGCCCGACCACCGATGGTAGGGCGGTTGGGGCGGGGGATGTGGAGCAGACCGGAGCCAGAGGAACGGAGGGTACGGGCAGGTAGGTAGGGGGATAGTAGGTCGGAGAGGTAGGAGGGAGCGAGGCCGTGAATGGCCTTGTAGGTGAGGATGAGGATCTTGAAATCAATCCTCTGGGGGATGGGGAGCAGTGGAGGCGAGCGAGGGTGGGAGTGATGTGGTCCCGAAGCCAGTGATTTCTGTGCATTAAGACCTGCTTTGGATACTCAATAAATCTCAAATCCTTTACAGATTTGATATAAATAAGCACAGGAAATAATTTTATTTTCACGATCTTTCTACAGCAACTATTCCCCTTCTCCAATATATAATGCAGCAGCTAATGCCAACAAGATATTAAAAATAGAGGTTCTGTGTATCTGTTAAAGATCCCATGGCACTATTTGACGAGAAGGCAGTTTCTCTCTCCTGGTGTCCCGGCCAAAAATCCCCCAAATAAAGTTGGACATTCACACCACAAATGCAAGGATTATTATTGTTATTTCTTCGCTCATGAAGAGAGTTTGTTTCACCCGAGGGCTCTGTCTATCCTGCCTGACCACACTTGACCAGCAGAAGGCACCATTTCCTCACATCCACCACTTTTCATTTGGTAAATTTTACGATTGTTTACGAGTTATAAAATAACTCGTAAACAATTTTAAAAGCATTGGGGCCATTTAAATTTACGTTTTAAATTACCTTGTTAAAATTACGTTGGGAGTTATTGGCCAGGAAAGAATAAGCTTCTAGAACTTTCCTTGTGGGACACACGTGACAAGTAATGACTGTCGGGTGTAGTGACTGTTTTCGTGAGCCAACATGGAAGGTATTTGGTGCAGGAAGCAAAAAAAACTCCAGGACTTTACCAGAGTAGGAACTCTGTGCACATAATCGGAATTAGGTATGTGTGTTTCGTCCGTCCAGGGAGACAGCGCAATCCATTCCAAACGAGGGAATTTCTATGTGTAGGTGACATGCAAGGAATTCTCAGTCTGGTGCAGTGGGATCTATCTCTAGGATTGAAACTCTGACCTGCTAACTCCATGTCGACCTCTCTCCACTGGCTCCGGCCTGCTCCACATCCACCGCCCAGCCCGCTCCCCCATCAGCGGTTGGGCCTTCAGCCTCTCTGCCGCCAACCTTTGGAACTCTATCTAAAAGTTCCTTTGCGTCGCTTCCTCCATCGCATCCTTCAAGACCCGTCTCAAGACCCTTCTTTTTGGCCAGGCCTTCGGTCACCCTCCTACCCCCACCCTCCGTGTCCTCCACCCTCCTGATCACAGCTCCAGCTCGGGTCCAAATCCCTGACTATCCAGCGCCTTGGGACATCCTCCCAACGTGAAAGACAGGCTCTGTGTAAATGCCATGTGTTGTGTAATCCAAATAACACCCACTGCCCCACCTGATTGTACAAGGATTTGTGCAGAGTATTAGTGCTTTACCATTGGGTGATCCCACGTGTTTACCTCACAGTCAGTAGGAACCCAGTTGTTAGTCGATTTGTGGATCACTTTCTGGAGGTAATAATCCCTCCAAAAAAAACAAACATAAATTTGGTCAAGATACTTAAACAATGTGGAGTCCTGTAGCTCAGTGGTTAGAGCACTCGCTTTGCAAGTGAGAGACCTGAGTTCAATTCCAGGCAGAGGGCGAAACCTCGGGCAAGTTTCCTTACTCCACACAGAGCCTAATAATAATCCTCCAAAACCAAACAATAATAAATTGGTCATTTTCAATCTACGACTGTTTGTGGGACATTGCTGTGCGCAATTGGCTGCCGCGTTCGCCCACAAATATACAGTCAATTCACTTTACAGTGTGTTCTGTGAAGCGCTTTGAGACGTCCTCCCGACGTGAAAAGCGCTATATCAAATGCAAGGATTATTATTATTATTAATGTAAGACTCAGTCTCTCGGCTCTCGCCCCGGTGCCGCTGCATTGTTGAAAGTTGATGTCGTTCGGTTGAGACCTATTTGTTAGGTCAGGGTATCATTGGATACTTGGCAAAGGCAGGTAATTGGACTTGAGGTACAGATCAGCCATGATCTTATAGAATGGCGGAACAGGCTCGAGGGGCCGAATGGCTTCCTCCTGTTTCTGTGAGACTTGAAACTATCTGCCTGTTTCTCCTAATGTCCTGACCAACATTCCTCCAGATAAATTAGTCCTTCACTTCATGGCTGTTTGTGGAATTCTGCTATTTTCAAAATGGCTGCCACCCTTGCCAAAAAGAAAACAGTCTCTACACACATAATAATTCTTGCATTTGATA